TTAGTAGAAAAAATTCATGCCTTCTGAACAGGACAGAAGATGACGCAGTGAAATTTCTGGGTTTTGTTATCACCAAGGCAGTGCAAGATTAACCGTAACTGTCTCTTTCTGCTTCTAGTCGTTTGATTGCGATCGCCTCAGCAAAAGGAAGCAGGTTAGGTTTCTTTTGTCTGCTGATTATTTTGAATGACTTCAAGTTGTCGACAATATGGCAAGTGTCTAGTAGATGGCGGTGTGCGACAGCACTGTTTAATGCTTGTGGACCCTTTAATCTCAGGTTCTTTGGTGTGTGTGTTCAGCGATTCAGACAATAACTTTTCTCTCTGTAAATTGGTGGACGCAGCTGGAAATAACATGAGGTGGGAGTCTGTCCACTTATGACTGTCTTAAACAACCTTAGTTTGGTAAACACATACAAGTTTGGCAGCTAAATATGTTGTTTTTAGGGTACTGTTGAGTTTGCATCTTATTCTTCTAGCAGTATCATCACCTTTGAAGGCAATCTGTTGAAAGAAGGGTTTTTTCTCTACTCTCTTGTCCTTTAGCTTATCAAGACTACGTTTTCCGTGTTTATCGATGAACTTCTGTGGTTGACCATTATCATGCAGGCATTTTTCAACAGTGGCTAATTCTTCTTCCACGTTTTCTTCTTAACAAAGTTTCCTTACACGATCAAACAGTGTTCTCACCAATCAATCCCTTTTTGTAACACTCATAGGAGAGAATTTTAGACAGCGTCTTCTGAAACGAATACCTGGATAGTGGATTAAACTGCGTCAAAACAAACTTTGGCATATGCATTTAGTTGAATTTTAGATTTTCTCGTTGATTGATCGGATCGAAGTGCTTGGTCTCAGGTTGACATGTCTGCCGGCTTCTTGTGCAGATGCTTCAACGAAATCTGGGCATGTAATTAGAAGTTGACTGCTAGATGGTGACTATCAGTGGAATCCAGGATGGCCCAAGTGGTCTAGTGGATAACGCTTTGGTGTTTGAAACTATGGACGCTGGGTTCGAGGCATCATTGCTCACTGAGGAATGCAGGTACATCCATCTAGTTAACGAGTCCTAAATAGGACGAAATGCGCATCCTGGATTCCGATGCTAGTTACCATCCACCAATCAACCTCAAACTTTGGTATAGTTTAGGACTCTTCATCAGCATGCACTCACTCGTGTTTGCACGCAGGACCTTAGAATTACACGGAGAGTTTGTTGTCCGTTCGCCCATTGAGACACGATCCAATGGCCAGCACATGAATTCCAACTTCTGTCAAATTACAACATATAACAGCTTCCAGTCAGTGTAACCCAACTGTCACGACTTCGCACTAAAACTCCAGGTAATTTCGTGAATGTAGCCAATCGTTAGTGACTATCAAATTAATGAACAGATGTTGATCTGCTTCGATTTGATTGGTTATTCGATGTTTGATCACAAGCTGTCATCACTTAGGGAACCATTGAGAAACCCATATGGAGTTGCTGGACAGCTGTTGCATTCTAGATTCGGTCCATGATGCAGAGGAGACGTAAACAAGCAAGGAAAATCTGTCTAGTACTTCAGTGGAATTTTCCAGTAGTTCTTCAACTGACATCAGCTCTGTGATCAAGTGTACAAAAATCTCATTTGCCAATAAACAGATTATAATTATTGTTATTTTGATTTCAATTTTGATGAAGTATTGATATCAGTTTCGCCCTAGTTTGGAACTCATCGGCAGCACGTACCCATCACCAGGTTTCTGACCCAGGATCTTCCATTTACAAGGCAAGCTCTGGTGGTCACGCTTAAATGACGAATTGGTAGGAATTAGAATTCATGGGTTGGCCATTGAGTGCCGTCCCAGTAGCCGAATATTCTACGAGTTTGCCTTGAATCCAGAAGGTCCTGGGCTAGAAAACCGGCGTTGGGTGCGAAATGCAGATTAGTCCCCATACTAGGACGACGTAGCAGCTGTCCAGTACTCCATTACTAGTTTCCACTAGTCCTCTAACTGATATCAATCTATGATCAAACTTGGAACGAATGTTCACTGACATTAAAATGACAAACATGAGGAAAGCTTAACCTGACTAAACCAGAGATGGAAGCCCTGAAATACCTTAAGAATAACAAGGATGCAGTAATTACATATTCAGACAAAGGAAATGCAACAGTAATATTAGACAAATCAGACTATTTGGACGAGGTGGATACTCACTTACAAACCGGATCATATGAAGAAATTGATAAATCAATAGACATAGTTATGAATAAGGTTAAGAAATCTACAGCGGAACTTATACGCCGAATGAAGCCGTCTCTAGGTGAGTCAAAGCGGTTAAAATTAAAGCCCAAAACTAATAACCCTAGTAGGATGTATGGTGTTGTCAAAGTTCATAAATCAGGATACCCTATTAGACCTATAGTTGATTTTAGAAATTCACCTATATATGAGGTATCTAAAGTTATGAGTTATATTTAGCCATGATATTACATCCCCTTAAAAGGTACTCAAAATCTAGACTAACAAATCCTTATGAACTAAAAGATAGATTAGATAAGTTAAAATTAGACAATGAAGAAAAACGGTTAGTTTTGACATTGTCAGTTTATGTAAACGTATACCAATACATATAGCTATAGAGGCAGTTAGAAACGAACTCATTTCTGACCAAGAACTCGAACTTGGGACGAAATTGCTAATTGAGGACATAATGCTGGGAGTTCAGTTATGCCTGACATCCACAGTATTTGAATTCCTCCAAGGGAAAATATGCAAACAAACTGAGGGAGTTGTCATAGGACCACCAATATCCCCCGTTGTGGTGGATATATTAATGGATAGGTGGGAAAACGTAGAGATTGAAACGTTCAGTCTCACTCCAAAAGTATGGTGGAGGTTTGTAGATGACATATTCACTGCACTTAGAACACAGGATATAAACAGATTTGAGTTATCAAAGGTGGAGGCAATTCGATTTACTTATGAATTGGAAAGTCAGGAAGAGGAACTTCCAATGTTAGATTGTAGCGTAAAAAGGAAAGAAGACGGGAAGTTAAACACACACTGGTGTTTACAGGAAACCCATACATTCAAACAGATATTTGGACTTCCAATCATTCCACCCATCCTATGTCAGTGAAAATAGGATTGGTGAAATGTTCAAATAATAGAGCACAAAACTAAGTAGTACCAAAGCGAAATTTAAGATAGGAAGTGAGGCTTATAAGTGAAGCTATGAAACTTATTAATTACCCTGATAAATTAGATAGAAAGTATGTAGGGAAATGTAAAAATATAATTAATAATAATAATAGTGTTAATGATAATAATAATATTAATGAAAACATTCATGTCAAATATGCGCAAGACAACACCAACAATAAGGAATCTAAATCATCAGTAGTACTTCCATACAAGGAAGAACCTCGGAAACCACTTTACGCAGAATTCTAAACAATGCTGGCAGGAATAAAAGTGTCTGGCATTCAAACCACCCACAAACTCAATTAGAAGCAAGCTTTGTCGGTTACAGGATCAATCCTGTGGAGGCAATTAGACAAACAATTTAGTTTATCTAGTATCCTACCTCCAATGATTGTCAGGTCAAATACAAAGGGCAAACTGGTAGAACGGGGGCTGTCAGCCTAGCGGACCGTAAAAACCTAGTGGTGAAATCTAGATTAATTGACCCAAATAAGATAAGAAATCTAGAGAATAGTTCAGCTATGACACTCACTACATGCAATTACACACACAACCATACAACAGGATGATGGGATAAGATGGCAGTTTTAAAATCGAATGTAACAAGGTGAATGGAGAGAGAGATTGATAACAGCGGAAGCTTTGTTTATCAAATCAACTGCAAATACAAGTAATAGGAATGATTTAACACCTGTCCACCTAGACATCTGGAAAGTTCTGCTACTCCTACGACGACGAATACGAAGGAATAAAGAAAACTATGAAACGGAAGTTTCGAAGTTATGTGATTATAATTTATCTGATTGTGAATCGTAATAAATTGTGTTCGAAAAGTTATCCAGTAAATAATACTGTTTCACCATCTGATCTATCTAATAAACAAAATAGTATGGAATTTGAACAAAGAAATAAGAAACATTGGCGCAGAATAATCTGGGTCCATCTTGTTTCGTTGGTTCTCATCAGCTGCTTACAACCTTTGTCCATCAGCAAGCATATTTTCAGAGCATCATAGTAAAATAAGGCGCTGAGATTTACAGGGTTTTTAAAGTGTTACGACATATATGTATATATATATATCTTGAAAAGAATTAATTAACAGTTATGTTGTTGGGGTGGCAGCAAAAGACATTTGGCAATAGTTACGTAACTAGATAGGAGAAGATCAAGATTTTAAAATTTCGGTGCACATGAGGTCAGATGAGAAGTTGATGATGTAATACAGTGAACAGAACTCAGAAGATGAAGAAAAATTATCTCATAAGAGAGTCAAACGAAAAATAATGTTAGGGGGTGGAATGAAAAGATAAGTTAACAAAATTTAGAAAATTAGAAAACAAAGAGTTACTAAGAAATGTGTCACCAGCGTAATTGAAGTCCAACAACAACGGATTCTTTTTGGACACATAAATCAGACTTCAATCGTTCTATCGCTATAGCTTCAGCAAACCTGAGAAGACTTGAGGTACTTTGTCTGTTAATATTATTTTGAATGATTCCAGGACATCTACTCGGTGTCCTGTGTCAATCAGGTGTTTGGCGATTGAAGAGCCTAAACAATTCGGTCCCTTTAACCGAAGGCTCCTTGGTACATGTTTGCAGAATCTGACGTAGGCCCTCCTCTCTGTTCTTCCAATGTAACTGCTCCCGCAGATACATGTGAATTGGTATACACAAGTTAGAGGTAACATGTGAGAGGTACTTGTCAATCTTTGACTGCACCAATGAAGAGGTATGTAATATGGAATTACATACTACCCATAGTGCCCAAGTTTTACACATATATTAATATCCTAAATAGGAAATCCTGAAAATTATCATTATGAAGTCAAAGTGGGATAAAATTAATCAGAAGGGAAGAACATTTCTATGACGAGGGTTTTATTGATTGTTTCCATTCATGTATAGCATGCACCTGTTCAATTATACACATAAGTAATAATAAAACGTGTACATTCAGAGCTGCTGAACATCTCAAGAACAGTTCTTCATTTTACTATTATTTCATAAACATATATATATGTCTTGTGTACGATAAATATGACTCCACAGTTAAGGTAGATTTACGAATCACGTAATTGATGAGTACTCTCTTCCAGTAGACGATTTCGATAAAGCTTCCATTCACGATAAATGCTTAACTTTGATTCTAATTCTTCAACTTTAGGAAAGGGTTGAACCTATTTTTAGTGTAAAATATTAAGAAAATAACAATAATTACATGGGTAAGTAGTTAAACAGTTTATCAGACATTTAGTAACAACATGGTCATTGAAAGAGGAAGAGAATGAAAAGTCTGGCTAACTAGCTGTCCTTGATCTCAGATATCTGCGTTATGTCTCCTGTGTTAAGTGGTAACAATAAGGTGAGTGATATTGGGGTTAGGCGTTGATGGATTGTAATGTAGGGAGGGAAAATCAATCGACGAGTCTATGAAGTTACACCGACTGAGGCGATGGTTAGGACATGTGTTACGTATGCATCCCTAGTCATCGACTACCTTCCTCGATAAACAATATTAGCTGATATAGGATTAGTTAGGAAGAGAACGGATGGTGTTCAAGTCGAAACTTGGGATAAGTCTGTAAATTCTTTAACAGTTAGTTTGAGCCAGCCAGCCACTTAGAGAGGTTTAGACTTGCTGACTGGTCGGGATCCTCGGGAGATTAAACACCAGTGACTAGAGACAATTGGTGATATGGCTGAAAATGGTTCTCAGATGCATTCACTCTTTGGGATCTATGATATCCAATAAAATTCTACTGTTCTTCCACATTACTATTCTCTCAGCTTCACTCACACTTCTGTTTATGATCTCTGTCATTTGAATCTCTCTTTACTCTCTTCTCTTGCTTTGTGTTTAACATGAAAGGAGTGTGGCAACTCGAGCTGCTGGAAATCTGTGCAAAGTTCTACATTGAAACCAGTCAGTCAGTCACACTACGTTTCCTAACCTGTCAAATATTTTCGCTTCCTGTATCTATAAATGAAGTAGAGAAGTCGATGGGGACCCTACTTCACGTATGATCGTTTTTACTACTAGCCGACTGATATGAGTAGATGGATGCCAGTCACATCGATCAATAGTGTTTGCTGGCCAGATCAAAGCAATCTAAATACTGCACGACAGTTTCGCAAGTTCGGTTTCCAAATAAAGGAAACTGGGGTAAAATCTCATCTCCTCGTAGTGTGTAGATTGCAAACGCCTACGCGATTTATTTTGTACACCTCATCAATACTGCTACTGACTTGACCAACGCTCAATTTCTAGTCACTTATGTTACGTCATCCAATGTATTTGGTCAGTCGTAGTCCTAACTTAAATGTCATCATTCTCCACCCCACCTCCACTCATTCTCTACCTGTAATTACCTCTGGTTCTATCCTAACCTGAGTTGAAGCATTTTAGTGAATTATATTACGTCATCTAATTTACTAGCTCAATCTTACTTTAGTTACTGTCTAATTAACCTTGTTTCTATATTAGACCATTCTTGTATTACTTGATTAATTATCTAAACTTGACAAATCTCATGTACACACACATACACAGAAAATAATTTCATGTGAATGAATTCACCGAAAAGAGTCTGGTCATTGAACGTCTTCTCTTTTTTATGAGACTCAATGGAGTTTTTTAAGCTACTTTAACTGTGAATTTGATTTATGGTACTACCAGTTCGACCAAGTAGCTAACTAGCCAGCCAGAAATCGCTTGGTTTGAACTGATTCGTCTATTCCTCTGAGCTGAGTTGTCAAACCGGGTACACCGTTGATATGCTCAGCCGGAAAACGAGCGAAAAAGCCAGCCTAATGGTATTCAGATCACTTCAATATGGCTGGCCAACGAACACTTCTGGAAGATATTGTAACAACAGAAGGCAGGACATGGAAGCCAAGGTGTATTTTCAAGTGACCAAACCGATATTTATACATATACAGTTTATATTTGATGATATTAGATGGTTGGAGGCAATCGGAAAGAAGCTTCCGACCTAGGTTTCGTGCTAGTGGGCACTCAGCAGCAAAGCGTATCATCAAACTTGAAGGGACCCATGTCTTTTCTGAAATTCGAACCCGCGTCACCCAGTGCTGCAGTCACAGACGTTACCACTGAGCTGTTCGGTCTCGCGATTCACCTCCTCTAGGGATGTAGTGGATACTTTGACTGAACACTAGTAACTAATGTGATGTGTTTAGTCATTTCTTTGCTGCAGACTGAATTCTATCAGTCATGTCTGCAATGTGGCCACCATTCTAGGTAGCTCACCATCACGGTGCACACATTGATTTGATGGCATTGGATGATTGGAGGCGCTATCGGCAGGAAGCCGTGGACTACTTAGGTTTTGTGCTAGTTGGCGCTCACCAGTCAATAAGGCGTATCTGCAACTTTGAAGGCACACATGTCCTTTCTGGCTGCCTACCTAGAATGGTGACCACATTGCAAACCTGACTGATAGGAAGCAGTCTACACCAAACAAGGACTAGACACATCACACTAGGTACTAGTGTCCAATCAAAGTACAGTTTTGTATTCTCTAATCAATCATTGAGCGTGTGATTTGGGCGTAAAATAAACAATATGAAATAGAATGTTCAAATGCATATATAGTATTATGTTGCTAAAGCTGTATTGAACTGTGGGAATACGTGAGAATAATATTCCATTGGAACACACTGTCTAAATCTCGTCACCACAGTATGAGTAGTAGAGAACTACTCACCTCAGTCAATCAGTAGTATATAGTTTCGTGCAAACAACACATCCATTTGTCAAGTGATTGGGATTCATTATTTTCATCAATGAATATAAACCGTAAATCATTTAAAAAACAAGCAAAGGATAAAGTTGCTCTATAATCAACCGCTTCCATTTCACACACGTGTTGTGTGTGAAGATTAATGATACTGATTGGCGGTTCAAACTTCAGTGGAAGTCGACTGTGTAGATCAATAAAATACAATTCTACACCTGGAAGAGTTGAAAGACTTAGACTGATCTGAAACCACATTATTCTTGTCTAAATCCTGGATGCAAAACGGTTTGTACAGTCATTGTAGATACATTGTGTTAAACCTGTATAAGCACTCTACAGCTTTTTGGTGAAAACCTTTCTCAGTCTTCTTTTATTCCATTCTTCTGCGTTCCGAATGAAACATAAAGCTTCAAAGTTTCAGTAGCTGGGGATGTTGTTTTTGTGCTGTAGGTTTCCTAGCCTCACGCCACAACTCCCCTCAATACCGATCTTATTATTGTCTAGGAGGGGTTTTAGGTGTGTGTCGGCTGGGTATCGAACCCTGACCTTCCGCATAGCTAGCGAGCATTCTGCAATGGATCCACCAAGGCAGTTGTATGGTAGTACCATATATCTTTTCTCACGAGGTTTTCTTAACATTGTTGCTTATGAGTTCTCTGAGACAATCATTAATTTTTTTGTTCTAGCATTTTAATAATGATGGAAATGACATTATTCCAAATAGAACTTTTACTGAATCAGTGTGCAGTTATCAGCATGTACTACTGTAACGACAGAAGACAAGGGCCAAGCAACAGATCCTTTATTGAGAAAATCAAGAGGTATTTATATATTTTTATGTACATTATTATTCGTTATTACTTGCAGGGAAATAGGGTCTTCTGATTGTTTGTTTTCTTGCTCAAGGTTATTCCGTACTGCTCGTAACCGTTTCTCAGAATGTTAAGCCATATATCTGCGAATCGTATTTGTACAAGTTAAGTGTGCTGTGATTGATTGTTGAGTTCGTCAAGGTTAAGCTTTGTTTTTTTCTCATGACTTCAATTCGGGACATCTTGCAGACATCTCTCACCACAGTACAACGTTGCATTTAATGTTCTCTTCACATTATATTGTAAGGGACGAAAAATTTATCTGTTTGGCATGTGCTACTGAGAAGATTTATCAGTAGTAGTGAAAAGAGACGTTTATCTCCAGACAAAAAATATCTATTAGCACAGAGATGGATTTGACGTCACAGAGAGAAAGAGAGAGAGAGAGCAAATGAACCAACCAGTATTGTAACAAAACATGCGAGGCACAAAAACAAGACACAAATCACGAAGGACAGAAGTAGCTCGCAACACGGGAGATCTGTGAGAATGACAATTTTTATATAAGGTGTACATAATTTCTCTACATAAAGATATCAAATTTTCTTTCAAAAGAATGGTTACTGAGCAAAAAATACTCTTTTCGATAAGCTCTACTTCATCAGGTTCTGCAGTTATGCATCCATAATAGTGAATGAATTAGCTGTTTTAACAACAACATTAATGTTGTTCAAATAACATCGAATCAATCAATAATAATATCAATGGATTACAGTTCAATAAGATCAACATAACAATACACTGAATGTCAGGAAACACATTACGAAAGATAATATTACAAATTCATGAATTTGCAGTCTCGGCTAAAGGCAAGGGCAGTAGTAATGGCTGAACTTGCTTCTTCTGCTCACAAAGCAATGGATACTCCAAACGAATCGAGATAGCCACTGCTGTCTGGAGTATGTGGTACCTTGATGTTATTGACAATATATTTTGTAATTTTCAAGTTTTGGTTTTTGTAGGGATTTAGTTTGATTGGTTGAAGGATTTCATTATGAGGTGACATCAGTTAGACAGCCATTGGAAAACCTGGGAGTACTGGACAGCTGTTTCATTCTAGCTCATCAGGACTCCTCAGCAGTACGCACCTCCACGGGGCGTCGAACCCAGGACCTTCTGGTTATAAGGTGAGATTGTAAACCATTGAGCCACTTGGAGCAGATCCAAGGGCCCATGAATTCTAACTTCTGCTAATTCATGACATAGCGTGACCACTTCGCAATGTCTTCTTCGATGAGTTTCTGCTTCACCTTCAACATGCTGCTCCCTGCTGGTCACAGCTTCCCACTAGGGCCGCAAGTCCACGAGCTCGCCTTGCAACCAAAAGGTCCTGGGTTCGAAACCCAGCGATGCATGCGTACTGATGAGGAGTCCCAAACTAGGACGAAACAGCTGTCCAGTACTCCCAGGTTTTTCAATGGCTGTCTAACTCATGAAATCCTCCAAACAATATATTTTGTACCCGGTAGATAATAGATAAGGATTCTTCAACGCTGGCCTGATTTGTGTCCGGTTTGCACCAGATGGTCTAATGTCGACCTGTTGATGGCTTTTAATACACCTTTGCTTAGCCTCACTGGCAGATGTTCCCGAGGAGCACGAAAAGTCAAGTTTCTCGAGCAAAGGCTAATATAACTCGTTGCTCCACAGGCGCAGTTGAATTGGCAGATACAATCAGAAGTGGCTAGTCTAGGTACTTCTTTTGTCCTACCTGATTAAATGCAAGAATATAGTTATAAATAAAGAGGGTGTTGAGAGTCCGAAGAGAGTATAAGTTTAAGTGTTTGTTTAGAGACACCTGCACTTATCATGTTGACAGCTTTTTTAACTGCTCGTCTCAGTATAACAAAGTCATTCATCGGCATTCCAGGAAAGAATAAGGTAGGTGGGTGGGGGGAGCAATAAAGAAGGTGGGTAGGATACAAGAATTAACAAACTTAGCAAGTGGACATTGAGTGTCACCAATTGTCTGAACCTCTTTATATGGAAGGTTGGAAGAAACATCTTTCTACAAATAAATATAATTGTGGTAAGATCAGAAAAGATCAAGCGATCACAGTATGGTGGAACAGGGTGAAATTATTAGGAAGTGATATGGTTAGGTGGAGAGATAGGTTAATCATTGAAACTTTGTTAACTGAATCAATACCAGACATCTGTAGTCGAAATTACTGAAAGCATATGCTTGATTTATTGATTGTTTTCGACATAAAACTATGCACAGATATACACCAGTGAAAGTTGCCACTCTTCCTCTCCATTTAACACACAAACCAAGACAAGAAAGTAAAGAGAGACTCATCAGAAGACGGATGTTAAACAGAAATGTGAGCTAGGTGAAATGAATAATATTACTATTGAACAATACAGTTTTGTTCGATATGACAAATCACAAAGAGTGAATGCATCTGAGCTAGCCATCACTGAGCGAAGAAGATTTTGGGCCATACCACCAATTGCCTCCATCCATTATTGGTTCCTGTTATCCCGAGGACACCAACCAGACAGCTGTCAACACATCCCTACGTGACTGGCTAGTTGGCTAGCTCAAACTAACGGTTATGGATTTCATTGACTGATGAAGACATATTCTCTCGTCTGGCCGTCACTGCCTCTTTTTCAACTTCATTCATTATATGTCAGCAGCTAACACTACCCACCCGACCCGTCAAGGAAGGCGATTGGTGGCTAGACATTCGTGACACATGTCCTAATTATCTCAATCGATTTAACTAGACAACCTCGCCAACTGATTTTCCCTCTCTACCTACCTCTCGGATATATGGCGAACTGTGATGCAAAACAAGAGGGATTAAGGACTTGTAAAGCTAGTTAGAAAGTCATGTAAGCAACCTGTGACATCATAATGATCAATAAACTATACTCAAAATATCATCCAGTTATCACTTAGTGTTGTAACATCACTGTGTTACATCGAATAAACTTGAGTAATATTAAATTATATTTTTACCATAATGTCTAAATTCTATTCCTTATACCAAAATAATTTCTTAAATAGTTGAATAATCTGTGAGTGATAAAAAGGACTTGAAACTGTTTACTTATCGGTTAATCGGCTAACTGTTTTACTGATTTATATACTGACTGACTAATTTTCAAGATTGATCACGAATTGACTTCATCTAGAGAGCCACTGGAATCCCGGAAGTATTGGATGACCATTTCTTCCTTGTCTTAGACTCTTCTGACATACGCATCCGTGACCCAACCAGGATTCAAAACTAAAATCTTCAAGCTATGCGGCTAGTTATTAGGCCACTCAGCCACTGGTGACCACTCAAAGTAACCATTACAGTCTTCGTATAAAGGAGGGACATCAGAAGAGGCCTTACGTAGAATTCTCTCAGTGAGGCTGGAATTAGAGGGACATTTAAACCAACCAACCAACCAACAAACTCTCTCAGAGATAAACTTTTTAGCCTTAAGAACTTCAATAGATCCAATTAGTAAAAATAATATAATTTACCAAATACCATGTCAGTGATTGTGGATGAGGTTAATTATGTAGGTCAGTCAAAACTAGTATTTTTATTTATTTATTTATTTTTGGTAACAGCTTGATTCCACACTGTATTTTTGGTACAAGTATGGAATTTTCAGCATGGATATAGGTAGCCCAAATTTTGCAGGCCGACCATAGATATCTGGTGGCGTCGGTGTGGGCTCGAACCCCGGACCATGTGCATGGTCGTCGAGAGTCCTAACCACTGTGCCACCGACGCACAGTAGATCGGGGTCAACTAGATTATTCGAGCATACAAATTTAGCCAGACCTACAATAATTGAGCCTGTTAACTTAAATAACCTGGAATAAAGCTCAGCCACTGCACTACATTCACTTGCATGTAATCATACATCAACAGTGTGGCACAGGGTGAGAGTATTAAAAGGCGATATAGTTAGGAGGAGAGAGAGAGACAGACAGACAGAAAAGTTAGTCACTGAAGCTTAGCTTATCGATTCAACACCTCACATGTACAATCGTAATGATGCAACGCCTATATTGGAGATATACAAAATGGGCGACAAAAAATAAGGGGTAGATGGTAGAAAGAGAGGAAATATATATAAGACAAATTGTGAAAACGTGTGAATAAAATTGATATGATCATGAGTGGCAGTAATTTATACTCGAAATGTCACCCAGCTGTTAATACTCCATCGCTGTTTGATTTTTAAAATAAACTTATCTAATGTCAATTCTGTCCCTCTACACTGATAAGAAACTTGGTCAGTATGTCACTGGAAGGATCTCTAACGCGCCAGACCCTTGAGTGAAGTCCGAATTGGATGCGACAAGTAGGTTGTGCGAGGGTTGAGGGTGACAATGCAAGAGATCGTGTGAGGAAGAGATGAAACAGTCTGGTCAACCGTGAAACCAGCTGAAGAGGACAGCAGAAAATAGAACAAAGTGGAGATGTGTTACTGAAGCCCTATGTTCCACTCGGAACCCAATGGGACAATCATAATAATACCAATAATAAATATGGAACTGTATCGTACCACAATGCCCAAGCTTTACACTTATATTAATAGTCCTGTAGGAGGTCGATCGCGAGCCTGAATATCTCAGTGGTAACATGTCTTACTGCAGCACTGGTTGAGATGACGTTGGAATCTCAACAGGGACATGAGTCCCTTCAAGATTTGAGTTAAACCTTGCTAACGACTGCCACCAAGCACGGAACACGGGTCCGATTTCTTCCAATCATCTTACATTAATTCTGAATTCCAAAGTTTCCAACAGTTCTCTGACTAAAATTATTTCATGATCAAAGAAGAAAGTATCAATCAAATCTCTGCTGGAGAACTACACATTTTATTCTCTACACGATCGATGGTGCTACCTCGACTGAAAGATGAAGTACCTAGACTAGCTAGCCACTTCTAATTGTATCTACCAATTCAACTGCGCTTGTGGTGGGGTGAGTTATATCGGCCATTGTTCTAGGGACTTGATTTTTCGTGTTCGCTCGAGAATATATCCCAGTATGGCTAAGTAAAGGTGTAGTGAAAACCATTAATAGTTCGATGTTAGACCATATGGTAGAAACCAGCTACAAAGCTAGCCACCAGTGAAGAAACCTTCTCTATCATCTACTGGGTGCCTAATAAATTGCCAAAAACATCGAAGCAGTGCATGCTGCAAACAGCAGAAGCTATTGCAATTCGCCTCAAACAACCAGTGCTCTGTGTTAAAAAAAAACACGTCCAGCCAGCCCTGGCCTGCCTTCAGTAGAGACTATAGATTTATAAATTTGTAATATTATCCTTCCTAATTTTTCTGACATTCCGTGTGTATTGTTATGTTGATGCTGTTGGACTGTAATCTGTCAATATTATTGATTCTATGTTATTTAAACAGCAACATTAATGTTGTTCATAACACTAATTCATTCATTCATTCACTATAATGGATGGATATACAACTAGAGAACCTGATGAAGAAGAGCAGGTTATAGAAAAGAGTATTCTTTGTTCAGTATCCATTCTTTTGAAAACCAATTAGTTCAAAAATTAATTTCCATGAATATGCTTACTTACCTTAGATCTTAACCAATTCATAAAGTTTGTTGGACAATGTTCAATAAAAAATTTTTTACTTATCGCTACACATTCTGCACCATCTGAGACTAATGAAACTGAAGTTGTCCCACCGAATGGTTCAAAGACAATGGATTCCAGTCCCTGATGGGAATGGGAAAAGACAAAAACACAAATGTTACCACTTTGAGATTTGATTAAATAAGGCTGATAAGATAATCCTGACAATGTTGATAATGTTGACAAGTTGTTGAATCGCGCATCAGTAGACTGTCGAATGATGAATTTTTAGGTAGTTCATATGTGTGCACAGTATCAAAGATTTCACTAACTCTGGACATTTGTTGGCCCTTTTCTGAAAAACGTTCTAAAATTTCACCGTCTTTTTATTGATATAAGTATAAAACTTAAGCACTGTGGTGGGAGAGTACAACTTCATAATAGATAAGATTTTATTTTGATAAAATCACACAGTGTTTGTTGTACAGTAATATTAAGTGATGATAACGCTTCGAGCACAAATTATTACTGCTCATAATAATATCAAGTCACTCATTCACACAACTTTTTTCCTTCATTTATATACATGAGTGAAAATTGATGCGATTAGACATTTGAAAAAAAATCAATATAAGATAAAGTACATTCACAAATAATATGAGTGTTATTGATCAAATACAATCAGATAGGGACATCTGCAGCCCTACGTAGGATTATCAATAGAGCAGGAATTACGGTGGTATTCAAATCTACAAACTCATTCAGAGACAAGATCTGTAGGTTAAAAGGCCCTGTTGACCCAATAAAATCAAATAATTCACAAAATACCTTGCAATGACTGAGAGATCAACTACATAGATCAGACTAGTAGATCGGGGTAATCAGATTGTCGGAACATAAGAATTTAGCTGGGGTTAGACTGGTTGACGCCTCTCGCGGAGATAAGTAATTTATAAAAAAGCTCAGCACTATATTGCACTGCAGGCATTAACAACGCACAATCACAGACAATGGATTGGGAAGGAGAGGGCTAAAATTCTAAGCAGTAAGTAATACAGGTAGGTGGTATCTAGGTGGAGAGAGATTGAGAGGTTGATTACTTAATCCTTGTTCATCGAGTCTACTTATGCAACTAATGCAACAGGATGCAATGACTCATTACTCATACCGGAAATATAGAAAACACTTGTACCAACCAGTCAAATCAAGTGATGGAAAGTAATGGAATTATATAAACGAAGTTAGGAAGTTGAGTGAGTAACTTGATATGATTATGAGAAGCAATAAATTGTGCTCAAAACGTCATCAGTAAATATTACTGTGGTTTGGAGAAGCTTGACTCGTACGCGTTTAGGAAGACTGCTTTGTTTTCTATAGACGACTTTGAAGTTTGTTTGGGGTGTAGCTTGGTGTCCGGAATCTATCAGATGTTCTAAGATAGAGCTGTGGGGGCATCGTTTTTCTGCTTCGTGAAACCATGCAGGTAAGTGTTCGGTGATACATTTGGAAAGAAAGAAAACGCTCGGTACGGCTGACATACCTGGCTCAACATGAGCAGGTGAATTGGCCGATAGACACTGATGAGACTAGTCAACAGTGGTAGCTTATCCTTCACGTTAGTACGAATAACAGGTTTTGTGGAGAAGGTTAGTCTTTGTTCAGCTGCGAAGAAGGTCTTCTTAATTGAACGCGACAGTCGATTTTTCAATGTTTCTGCAGATGTGTCTCCGTCGAATTGAAGATTCATGCAGAGGAGCTTTTTCAGGACGCCAAGCATGGGCGGCTTTCGCGGTCTAGGACTCATGGAATCTGCAACAAACCGTCTTGGATAACAATTGTCGACGAGGATTCTCTTCAGATTGTCTGGTTCATCTTCCATGGTATCAGGGGTGCAAATTCTGCCAACCCTATAGCTGAGTGAACGGATTAATTTTAGTTTCGTGTATATAGGTACCCAACTGTGAAAGTTAGTAAGCTTTCCGTTCTGCGTCGACTTTCTGTAAATGGATCTTCTCAGTGTTCCTTCCTGTTGTCGTCTTGTTAGTTGAACGTCAAGAAAGGATATTTTGGAGTTAGGCTCTTTCTTTAACGTGAACTGAATTGCAGGGTGGCAGTTGTTAAAGGAATTTAAGACGTCGTCTAGATTTTCTTCATTGTTGACGATAATGAAATAGTCGTCGGTGTAAGTATTACTGTATAGCATACTATGAGACTTTATCAAAATAAATTTTACCCATAATAGGACTCAACGTGTACCTATCTTTCCCACTTCGTAGGGTCTTCCGTGTGATCCAGTTCACTACAACCAGAATGAGCATTGGTGATTAATTAATTAATCAATTAATTAGATAATTTGATTTACATTTAAAATATGTTAGAGGAACTTACAAAAACACTATTCGGTTCCAATGTTTTCAATTCAATGAATATCTTATTATCTTTGCTATTTGATTGTTTGCGTGAATTTTGAATAGTCGTGCTCTAGGTAGTAACATAAGAAAATCAAACACAAGAAAGAAGAATAAAATAATTAGAATTCAATACAAAAGAAGTAATTTGGAAACTACTGCAATACAACGACGTACAGTACCCAAGTCTTTATTAACCTCATGTAAACAGTTTGCTATATAAAAGTGGCATGTGTCAAGTGATCCACAACGGAAAACTCTTAGCGAGGCGTTTGAAGTACATACAGGAGTAAGACTATGGTGAGAGCAGGCCGTGAGAAAATATGAGCACGGCTGATTCAACAACCAATCACAGGAGACTTAACGTAGCAAAATATGATTCGCAGATAGAGAACTCTATTTTTCGAGGAATCCCGAAGCAACCAATCAGAAGCCTGCGTTGTCTACTTGCATAAGCTATAATAATGTATGTGAAATATATATAAATACGTGTTGATTTTCATAATAAAACGATCTGTTGCCTGGCCCTTGTCTTCTGTTGTTACAAGACAAGCTGGCTGTCTGCCTATTATCACTGATGATATTCTTAATTTTGATAAACTGGATTATGCTTCAGACTGTGGGTAGGAGTGAGAAGACAGGAATACGTTGAACCATCGATAATAAGACTCTAGATTTGGATTTTGCGCGTGGATGATGTCACACAAACTCGAAGACTTGCAAGCCAAAACCAACACAAACTGACTGAAGATGCAGGCAGGCAGTGAAAACAGGACTGTAGGCGAACACAGAGAAGACGAAGGGAGGTGATGAAGATAACCAAACAACCAACTGCAACAACAACAACCAGCACCAATCACCATCAACGGGAGATATTTAACTGAGGTTGCCCACTCTTCTAGACAGCAAGCATCGTTTCAGCTACAAGCGGAGAAGATGAAAATGTGAAAGCCAGTCGGAATCTGAAAGGCAAGATACACCTTCATCAACCTGTAACCAGTTTGGAAATCGTCTGCACTCCACCTCAGCATAAACAGCAAGATTACAATCCTCAAAACCAGTGTCAAGTTGGTCCTTCTATACGTGTCCTTCAGAAACTTGCACTGCGCACCCGTCACGAAAAGGATTTCCAACAGCCTGTTGAAGACTTTCACCAACAGGTACCACCTTCTCTAGCTCCACACTGAAGATCGAATGGCCAGCTGGTCAAAAGAATTAGCAGTTTGAAACTCTGGCTGGTTACAAACCAACCAAGAAACGAGTGTTCAACAAAAATGCAGGAGAAAATGGAGATAAATTGGGCATATATATTCAGGAAACAGTCGAATGACACCTCGCGCCAAATGCATTACAGCAAGAACAACAGCTTTTGCAGAATAATCTGCTACCACCGCTTATTTCTCTGACTTCTCATTAGCCGCCTATAGCCTGAATAAATCATTGACTTCATGTACAGAGACGTTTTAACATATTTGTAAATTTCACGTGATATCAATTCACAGGAGATTGCATAATTAGTGAACAGTGCTCGGAAAATTATGCTTATATAGATTTTTCACAGGCAATTCCAGTTTAAACAAAGTAAACGTATGGTAAAGGAGTTGCGTAATAATAAAGAGAGGTGCGTAAGATGCACAAGATGCTGAATGACTATTAGATTGGGTAACAATGTACTGAGTTCAACTGAAATCATAGAAAGAAGAGACATATTCATATGTGTGTAAAACTTGGGCACTGTGATAGTAAGTAATTCCATATTAGTTTGTTTATTAGATATATCACACAGTGAAACAGTATTATTTACTGGATGACAAAGTTTCAAACACAATTTATTGCTGTTCATAATCATTGCATCAATTATAATCACATGACATCGATGCTGATGACACATTTGCAGTGTGCAACAATAAAAGTCATGTTTCCTACCAACCTACTCAGATTATTCAAAGACAACACATACCAATACTGAATTTACTATGGAACATGAAAATGATCGAAAGTTCCATTTCCTCGACACTGCCATGAAAAGCCTAGAAGATGGTAACCTCCAGAGGTTAAATTGACTGGATGCTTACATGCAATGGACAATACCTAAATTTTAATAGTTTTTGTCCAAATAGCTTTAAACGTGGACTAGTCAAACCTCTGTACTATAGAGCTAGGAGATTAGGCTTTACATAGATATTAGAGGAAGCATTTATGATTCTCGGAAAGATGTTGAAAGGCAACAGTTAAACTCAGAGGTTCATTAACATGTACGGAAGATCTGAAGGCTCAAATATTAAGCAAATCATAGTGAAGAAAAAGTTTTTATTCATTCAACTTGATTTTAAGGGTGAAAACATTGCAGAAATGGTCAACAGAAGATTGAGAATGTCACTAGCCGGAGCGTATCCTACAGTTAAGTTGGTTCGCTTCCATCGAACAATATGCTATCTGGTGCAGTCAAAAGTTTGTTTCTATGTGCATCCTGAGTAAAACTCACTCAATCAAACTATTCATATTATTATTACATAACTTCTTTTAACAACTGTTTGTGACAACTCATCATCTTTGTTACTATCCTAGTTTCATTAACACTTAATTTTCTTGACTTGTATTACCAACCTTCACCTGTTTAGTTAAAAGTAACCTTAACCAATTGTAATTTTGTTTGACAAACTTAATGTACACATGCATACAGAACAATGCATATATATTTGCGATTGTACAGCTAAGAAAATGAATTCACCGAAAAGAGACTCTTCGCTGATCTACGTGTTTTGTTTTCAGTCAAAAGTCGACAGATATCCTTCTCATGTTAACTCCAACTGTATATGCAAATTTACGTGAATCTGTGGGAGCAGTTACATTGGAAGAACAGAAAGAAGAAGGGCATATCTACGATTTTCTGAACATGTACCAAGAAGCCCATGTCTAAGGGGAACAAATGCTTTCACCAGTACCATCGCTAGGTTTCTCCCTGACACGGGTCATGAGGTGGAGGTCATAAGATCGTTAAAAAATTATCGACAGACAAAAGAGTTCAATTCTCCTCAAGTTTTCTGAAGAGATCTCCATGAAGCTCCTGAAACCTTGTTTATATGTTCAGAAAAAAGCGGTTATCAGTCTTTCGTTGCCAACCTGATAACTGGATATTTTCACCCTCTCTTTCATCTGATAACGTAATGTTGAAAGTTTCCATTGTGTATGATTATTATTGTTCGGGATAAAGTGTTTCTTATTATTACATATATTATTATTGTTTCGTTTAGTTCGTGGAGGAACATACGGCTTCAGCCTCACATCTCCATTACGTCCAGTTCAATGGCAACGTTTTCACTTGGCTCCACGTCTACCCACATGCTTTCATCTCCTCTCCACATGACCTCCTCCATTTCACCCTCACACTCAAGACCAACTCGCCGCTTTCCGTTTGGGTTCCAGTCAAGCGACGGCCTAGTGTGTGATGTCACTTGATGGTTTTCTCAGAGTATGACCAATCCATCTCCATTTCTTCCCGCAGATTTGTTGCACAATTGGTTCCTGGTTGGTTCGCTCCCAGAGATCCCTGTTTCTGATCTTTTCTGGTCATCTTATCCTGAGTATTGTTGAGTATGCTAAAATTGTTTTTGTAGATATACTTAATAATGACTTTGGCCCGTAAACAGCAGCTGATGAGAAGCCAATGGAATAAACACTGATGGTTCCATTTTATTCTACCAAAGCCACTGTTGTTCTTGCTTTATTCAAATTAATTAAGGGGTGTATAAGTGACGTTTATCTCAAACAAACTGCAGACCTTCATTAACAGCTGTCTCCACTCAATACTCAAGATCAGATGACCAGCCAGAAAAGATCAGCAACAGGGATCTCTGGCAATGAGAAACCGACTTTCCAACAAATAGGCAGGAAGAAATGGAGATGGATTGGCCATATGCTGAGGAAACCATCTAGTGAGTGACATCACTAGACAAGCCATCGCTCGAGTGGAACCCGAAAAGGAAGCGGCGAGTTGGTCATCAGTGTGAGGGTGACTTGGAGGTGGTTATGTGAAGAGGAGATGAAAGCATGTGGGCAGACTTGGAGCGAGGTGGGAAAGTTGTCAGAAAAGCGAAGGCAATGGAGACGCGCGGCTGAAGCCGTTTGTTCCTCTAGGAATTAAAGGATATAATAATAGTAATAATGATAAAAAACAATAAATGAATGAAAAATCCTTTCCAAAAACAGTGTTCAACTTACCTTCGACCTTTTACTCCTAATATTATTTGATTTGCAGTAATAATACTGAACACGAGTTTCTGGTCTACCTCCCTTACCGCTAGTTGAGTTTCCACACTTAGCCTTTAATTCAATACCTTTAAGAATACGACATTGGCCTGTTTTAACAATGTAGATCCAATTGCTTTGATTACTATCCATACATATTGTCATATTACGTCTGTAAGGCATGGAAACATGAAAGTCGTACACGAAAGAAGAAATATATATAGCGGCAAGGAAAATATTCTCTTCGACGAAATATTTTTTTCAAGAGTTAAGCACCTTCATACATTTGGTACCCTTGATAAATTTCGATAGAGAAAGAAAGACTAGATTTGCAGTATAAAATGTGATATCATCATCCTATTTTACAGGTTTCCGTCATCAGCTAAGTGCAAACTACCTGAAATTATAATGGTTATATAAATAATAACATTTCATACTTCAATGTTTGAAAGGTAATAGAGAAAACATTATAAGATGAACGCATCCAGAATATAAGCATTAGAATTTTTAGTTTAAGTCACCATCAATTTATATACTGTCAAACTATGACTGAGTGACGCTATCGTCGATATGTCGATGATACGTTTGTTGTTGGTAACGAAATGAGTCAGGCATCCGTATTATTTGACCACCTTAATGAGATCCACCCAAACATTAAATTCACTATGGAATATAAACACAACGATGAGTCCATTTTCCTGGACCTAAATGTAAAAAGAAGAGACGATGGAACGGTTGAAAAATCCATCTTCAGAAAAGAAACTTGGACTGGACAATACCTTCACTACAACACCTTCTGTGCATTAAGCTATAAACGGGGATTAGTAAGGATTCAAGGTTTGTTGAAGAATGTCTTAAGGAAAATAGGTATCCAAAAGGATTTATACTAAAGTACAGCAAAGAAAGAGGTGAGAAAGCGAAGTATCCAATAGTTCATTTGCCTCCCCTAACCCCAATCAAAGGAGAAGCAGTATCACAAAAGATTGATAAGAAGATGAAAGGAGGTATAAAAAGATGCTTCCCAACTGCAGCTAAGCTGGTGACACCATACAGCAGCACTACATGTTCTATAAGCCAAACGAAACTGAATAAGTAGCCTGCTGATGTTACCTCCAACTTCAGTTATAAATTCACGTGCACCTGCATCAGCAAGTACATTAGAAGGACAGAAAGAAGGCAGGGCTTCTCTCCGATTTTCAGAGCATATTCCAAGAAACTTACGCTTAAAAGGAAGTAGATTTTACAAAATGCAGAAATCCACCATGTGGATACGGGTCATTTTGTCGAGATTTCCAAATCTTTCAAAATATTCAGCATACAAAGGACAGCGAATTTACTATGATTTGCTGTTGAAGCAATTGCAATCAAACGTCTCAGACCAAACTTCTGCACACAGACAGAGAGAGTGTAGTCAATCACTTACTGCCTTGGTAACCGTATTACTTTCATTACACTGATGAGTTATGCACACTAGTGAACTCAGCTCACTGTGTAAGTTATCAGTTTGATGAACTCTAACCTTCTTGAGTTTCCATGTTGACGTACAAGCTAACACTGTCTTCTCTCACTCTCCTTCTCTTTCTTCTTTTTCATAGTTCGATAGCATATAAATTAATTATTATTATTATTGCTCCCTTGGGTTCCTAGTGGAACATAGGGCTTCAACTGCACGTCTCCATTTGCTTCTGTCTTCTGCTGTACTTTTCGCCTGCATCCATGTTAGTTCATACTCTTTCAACTCCTCTTCGCACGATCTCCTCCATGTCACCCTTGCACTGACGTCCCACACGCCGCTTCATTTTCGGGTTCCACTCGAGGGCTTGACGCGCGATGTCACCCAGCGGTCTCTTCAGCGAGTGTCCGATTCATCTCCACTTTCTCCTGCATATTTGTTGGGCGATCGGTTCTTGTTTTGTTTGTTCCCATAGTTCTTTGTTGGTGATTCTTTCCGGCCCGGCCATCTGATCTTCAGTATAGAGCGAAGACAGTTGTTAATAAAGGTCTGCAGCCTTTTGGAAATATTCTTTGTGACCCGCCAAGTTTCTGATTCGTAGAGAAGAACTGACTTTATGTTTGTATTGAAAATCTGAATTTAGTTGTTGATGTTGAGTGACGAAGATTTCCAGTCTCTGGGTCAGCTTTTAGTGCTTCAGGGGGTATTCCATCTGGTCCGGGTGCTTTTCCAGCTTTCAGAAGCTTGATTGCATTCCAGACTTCAGCTTTCGTTGGAGGATTGGTGTCAACTTGTTGTGCGCGCGCTGTTGTTGGTATTTCTGGACGGGTTGCAGGTGATGGTCGGTTCACGAGTCCTTTGAAGTGATCCACCCATTGTTTAATCTGTTTTTCTTCCTTGGTAATTGGGTTCCCTTGGCTGTCTTTTATAGGTTTCGCTTGTGTTACCTAATAAGAGGGGATTATTAATTGAGCATTTATATTGATAATACTGTCCAACAATTAGTTATTATTTGACAAATTTGAATAAAGCAGTCAGAAGACAAATTTCACCAAATGATATCGTCATTTCGTAGTTTCTTTACAACTGTCTTCTAACTAACATGCTTCACAATAATACAATAAAGCGCATGACAATTATTCAGTTATATAAAACAAAACAAATGTACATACTAATGAACAATCATATTTAAACAGATCAAGTATACTCGCCATGGTAGGCGGAGGTTAAAGTTTCTTGTGTTTTTCTGTACACATACTTCAGGATGTATATGATTCGTCCAAAGTACTTCTGTGGTGAGACCTGTCTGCTAGCCAAAAAATGTAGACAACAGTTTACGTCAGTGTTACTTCCAGAATCCGGGTCATAAGCAAAAAGCAACAACAAAGTTTAACCTTGAGGAAATTAACAACTAATCACAGCACACTTAACGTGTGCTATACGATTCGAAGATATTTGACTTAACTATCTAGGAAACAGTCACAAGCTGTATAGAATAACCTTTAGCAAGAAAACAACCAATAAGAAGACGTTGTTTCTCTGCTAACAATAACGAATAATAGTGTACATAAAAATCTATAAATATCTTCTGATTTTGTCAATAAAGGACATATTGCCTAGCCTCTGTCTTCTATCGTTACACTTCCATGGACTTTAATAACCATTCTGAATTAGAGTTGTGTGATGAAACAGTTATGAAGCAGTTACTAATATTGATTTTATGACTTAACATTAATAAGTGCTTTGCAAAGGATTATGCTGAATTTCTATTCGGATTAACTGCATAGGGATTTTCTGTGTCTTAATAACCATTATGGAACATGTACTTTTCGAGGACCACACAGAAGCATTCTATTGGTTCTGCCCATATATGTGTCATTGCCACTGCAGGTGAACTTGTGGATGCATTCTGAAGTAGAGTTCACAGAATGTCGTCCTTTAGTCATAGGTGTAGAGGAAGGAAATGTTCCAGCTGTGAGGGACGGAGATGCGGCATAGAATGTGCGTCCGATGGTTGACTGAAGTCTTTAGGCTATCGACTACATAATTTGATCGCCCTTGAATGGTAGTTTAATAAAGGCAGATAGCTTTCTTTGGTACAGAAGGTGTCTTTTCAACATGTGGTCTTTCCTTACTGTGGCAGTTGACAATAGAATGTTCCAATATGGTCGTCGAAAAGAACATGTTCCATAATGGTTATTGAGACAGAGAAAATCTCAATGCAATTAATTTGAATAAACATTCAGCATCATCCCTTGCAAAGTATTTATAAAGTGTCAAGTCACAATATCAATCAGTATTAATGACGGCTTCACAATTATTTCACCACATAACTCTAATTCAAGCATGGTTATTGAAGGTGATGGAAACACTTTTGGGGATTAATCACATACATCCTAAACTATGCGTGCAAAAAAACAACAACAGACTTCAACCTTCACCTACCATGGTGAGTAAACTTGACCTATTTAAATATGACTGGTCATTAGCAGAGTATGTACTTTTGTTTTTATATAACTGAGTAATTGTCATGCCTGTTATTTTATTACTATTGTGGACCATGTTAGTTGTAAAGCGGTTGTAGCGAAACTAAGAAATGACGATATCATCTCGCGACGAAATATGTCTACTGAATGCCTTATTTAAATATAAGATTGCACACAGCTAAATTGTGGTCAAGTGATACAGATAAATTGGATGACCGCATCCAAAGGACCTTAAACAAGCTCACCAAAACTGGACAGATCACAAAACAAGACCAATGGCGAATGAAATCCAATGGACCAGTCCTACCCCGATTCTACGGCAGACCCAAAATACACAAGGCAAATATCCCATTACGACCAATTGTATCACTCCCGGGAACTCCAACATATAATTTATCCAAAGAATTATACAGAAAACTAAAACACCTAACGGAATCTTGCGATCACTCCATCAACTCTGCTATCCAATTCCTAGAGAAAATCAGAGGCATCCAAATAGATGAACAAGAAATAATGGTATCATTCGACGTGACAGCATTATATACATCCATCGGACAAAACCTAGCAAAAGAAACCATGGAGCAACTACTTAGCAACGACGAACAACTTCCACAACAATCAAAAATGCAACACACAAGCTGGATGGAATGCATAAATCTATGCCTAACAACATACTTCCAATTCAACGGCCAAATATATGAACAAGTCAAAGGAACACCCATGGGATCGCCAATATCAGGTTTAATTGCAGAAGCAGTGATGCAAAGACTCGAAAATATAATTCTACCAAAGATCAAACTCAAGATTTGGATACGCTACGTCGACGACACATTTGTAATCATCAAAAGAAACGAATTAGATAAAACTCACAACTTAATAAACAACGTCTTCAACGACATCAAATTCACAAGAGAAGAGGAATCCGAGAACAAAATACCATTTTTGGACGTCTTAGTCAGGCGAACAACTACAGGAGAATTAGAAACTCAAGTTTATAGGAAATCAACTCACACAGACCAAATACTGAATTACAACAGCAACAACCCAATAACACACAAAAGGAATTGCATACAAACACTATTCAAGAGGGCAAGGACTCACTGCAGCACTCCCACCTTAAGAAAAATTGAAGAAAAGTATCTCATGGACGTCTTCCAAAAGAATGGATATCCACGGAATTTCATCAAAAAACATATACCTCCGAGCCAACCTACCAAAGCAAAAGCCACCAAGGAGAACACAAAGAAAATCGCCTTACCATATATAAAAGATATCTCAGAAATCACTACAAGACTCTTCAAACCTTTAGGAGTTGACGTCGTACACAAACCAACAAAGTCGTTTCACTCAATTCTATGTCAGCCAAAAGACTCAACAGCGAAAGAAGATAAAACCAACATCATCTACAAAATAAACTGTAACAACTGCGAAAAACACTACATCGGCCAAAGTGGACGTCCCCTTCGTCTTCGTATCCACGAACATAAGCTAGCCGTCAAAAGACATGATATCCACTCCCTCATTTCACTACACACAGACAACTACGGACATCAATTCGACTGGGACAACGTTCAAATATTAGACAAAGGAAATAACAAGAATGCTAGAGAATTTTTAGAAGCTTGGAATTCCAGTGAATCATCAATCAATAGACACATCGACATAGACAAAATTTATCAACCAATAAGAAAGAAACTTCATACACAAAGGGTCAAAGTTCAAGTCAAAGAAACAACCGGTTCCAATACAAGTAACCTAGAAGGTGTGAAAACACACACAAACAACCAATCACGTCCAAGGTCACCAGGAGAGATGATTAATAAACTCGTGGAGAAATCTAAAAGCTCACTTCAAATTGAAGTATGCGCTGAAGATGTCACCCAGTAAGGTGATGAAAGCTTCGCAAACTAACCATCCAGCTCAGATAACAAAACCACATCAAGATACAGAGTATACATATATGGTCATTATTCCCTATGATATACAGTAGTTTTCAAGTTTTGGCTTGAAACGATTTGATTGATTTCATTTCTGCTCACTTACTGGTCCCAATAGGGAGTACTTGACTGACATTATGTCTTTCTTCGAGATCCCATAATCCCATTAGATTTCAAACCTAAAACCTTCAGGTTACAAAGCGACCTCTTGGATCATCTAGCCAATGGGACCCAACCCAACTGCCTATTAATCCTAGGTTCTGCCGACTTGCGATTTATGTTCATATAGAATAACCTTGGTTTTATAGGCTACTACTGGTGTTATAGTTAATGATTGAAAATAGAATAAATATCTCCGTAGCACCAGGATTCTAACAATTGGGGCCAGATTACTGGTCCAGCACTTGATCAGGTGAGATCCCAATTTGGAATAGTACTTCAGGATTGGTTTCAAATGATACATACCTGAATGTAAACAGCCATATGTGAGTACAGCCTACACCAGCATTCTCTTTTGCTAGAAGTACGATTTAATTTGAAGAAAGAAAAGGTTAACTGGATCAGGGAAAACCACACTTTTCTCACCTTATAAAATATGTCCTAGCTAAATAAGGCATTGTAAAGCTTTCAGTTTTCTATAGTTGTTTCTAGTTCTACCTGATAAGATGAGGCAAGCAGAGAGTTCAGTATAGAAAGGATTGTCAGGGTCTGACAAGAGAATTTTTAACTGATTTCTTGCATGAGTTCATATGTCTATCTACAAAAGTATTAACCAGTCGGTCTAGCAGAACCCAAACAACCCTAACGACAGCTTTTAGTATCCTTCATAGTATGACAAAGTCTTTCTTGAGTACCTCAGAAAAGATTAAGGTGGTGGAACAGTAAAGAAGAATGAGTAGGACAGAAAAGTTAACAAACTTAGAAAGTAGAAACGGAGCGATACAACATTGTCTTAACTTCCTTACGTATAACGTTAGCAGAAATATTTTTCTAGAAACTAACGTGGAGAAAGAAGTCCACGAAATGTCAGAGGAAAAGATAAAACCCAAGGCACTTAACATTGAGGAACTAGTAAATTAATTAATCTTACCGAAAATATGTGAATAATAAAACGGAACCATCAGCTGAAGATAACTGATCGATTACTTGATATGGTATAAATGAAATTGTACGTAAAAATGAAATGTGCTCAGCTTCTTTATCATGTGAATTTTGTAAAAAGATTTTATTAAATTCATCTTGTGACATAACCAGTAATTCTACTGATGTTTTACATATTATTGTTGCACTTCTATTACTACGATAAATTAAAGCCAATTCCTATCAGGTGAAAAGAAAAAAATATAAGTATAACAGATATAATATCATAAATATATCAAAAATTGCATGGAGGATTTAATCATGAGCTGACGTCAGCTAGATAACCACTGGAAAGCCTGGGAGCACTGGACAGCTGTTTCGTCCTAGTTTGGGACTCTTCATCAGTACGCACCCACCCATGCAATCAAACAAAATCCCTACAAAACCAATACTTAAAAATTAATCTGATGCTCACTAGTGACTGGCCCTATTCAGGCAGTTAACCTGGGGTTCTGGTGGGAAGCCGTGACCAGTAGGGTACAGCAGGTTGAAGATGAGGCATTAACTCATCGAAGAAGACATTGCGAAGTGGTCGCGCTATGTCGTGAATTGTCAGAAGTTAAAATTCAAGGACCATTGCTTCGGGTCCCGTTGGGTCAATTGTCTACGAGCTCTCCTTGTAACCAGAAGGTCCTGGGTTCGAATCCCGGTGGGTGCGTACTGCTGAAGAGTCCCAAACTAGGACGAAACAACTGTCCAGTACTCCCAGGTTTTCAGTGGTTCTCTAACTGATGTCAGCTCATGATTAAATCCTCCATGCAATCGAACAAAATCCCTACAAAACCAATACTTGAATATCAAAAATTATTTATCTTACTTAATTCAATGTATAAGTAGTATAATTAAAAAACGTGAATTGATACCAGTAAGACGTCATGGGTTCCAAGGACTGGTATAGTAACCTGTGAGTCCTCGTTTCACTACCTGTTCACTGGTACTGCTGCAGACTCCCAAACTGGGATGTTACAGCTGTTTGGTACTCACTGCTAATTTGAAGTGGTTCTCTAACTGATAACAATCTGTGATCCATTTCCAAGTATAATATTTATTTTAGATGGTGATGAATACAAGTTGAATCTAGGATGGGACTCGTCGGTAGGATTTAGGTACCTGAATTCTCGATGAGTCATGTTGTTTCTACTGATACTCGAAACCATCTGTCATCATTTCAAATGCTAAAGCGTTATTCACGAGTGCTATCACTTTTGAAATGATCATCAGTAATTTGTGAGTGACTGTGTTTTTAATGAGATTTGAAACCTTGCAGGCACATCTAGCTGCCAAGTGACAAATGAGAAGAAATCAGTAACCTGAATTCTACTTTCAGTCCCTATCAACCAAAACAATGTCATGGTAATCTTCAGGTATCGTCGAAAGCGTCCTTACTAAGTGCGGAAATGTCAGATGCGGCCGAACATTTTGGCCCCGTATAATCAGTAAGTCAAAATGAAAAGCGAATTGCAGGTTTGATCTCGAGCTGATATCATTGAGAGAATCACTGGGTGAATAAGAATCACTGAATAGCAGTTTCGTCGTGGTTTGGAACTGTTCATCAGTGTTTATGCAGCAAGGGTCGAACCCGGCACCTCCAGGTCTCAACATTAGCTTGTAGACCATTCAACCATTGGTCTCGGTGCAATGGCCTATAAATTCCAGTTTCTTCCAGCTTGCAATATATATGGCACAACCACTAGTCTATATCAGTGGCAACGTTCACTAGCAACTGGCTGTATTCAGGAAGTTACTTAGAGTTCAGGCGAAAAGTTGTGACCAGAGGGGTCCAGAAAGTCAACTAGGCTAGAGAGCACTTATCCGCCCCTGACACTGGATGGTGGTTGCGCTATATCGTGAATCTTTTTTTCCTTCACGTTCCCAGTGGAACATAGGGCTTCAAGCTAGTGACTTGAAATTTCTGTAGCAGTGTTTAATTTTACAGGATGGGGTTGCAAGTCCCATGCCCTGGATATCATGAATTAGCTAAATTTAAAATTGATGGGCCATCAGATTCTGTCCAAGTGATTAAATGACATACCATCCTGTCTTGTAACCTAAAGGTATTAGGTTCGTCCCATGGTTGGGTTATAGCTGTGTACCGCTGAGTAGTCCTAAACAAAGACGAAACAGTTGTCTAATACTCTCAAGTATTTCACTAGTTCCCTAACTAGTTTCAGCTAGTGATTAAACTGGTAACCAGTCAATTCCTTGAAGACCAACATTTGAAAATGCATATTAACTTAAATCAATAATATTGTAACGGCAATAAATATTAAATTTTATAATTGTAAGAACCTGAAGAGGAGAAATTATTAAAAAGAATAATCTTCCTAGTTCAGATTGACTTTTAATTCATGTGATATGGGAATATTTCACACTGTTAAATCTTACTTCTCAACTTACTCCAAAACTTTGTCCAGCTTTTAAAATCGATACAGTCTCTTCAAAAGGTTCTCCTGTTTGTTTATTCTTTCTGGATACACTCACAACAACTGAAAAAAGTGGAATAAAATTAAACAGTTAGAAAGACAGATTTGAGAGGCTTTAGCGACGGTGACATAGCGGCAGAATGCTCTCTAACCATACCTCATGTGGTCCATGGTTAGATCCCTGGTCACAGACGCACTCTTTCTTTACCTCGTTAAGCCAGTAATAAGGCTATTAAAAAGGAAAGGTTGGGTTGGGCATGAGGCTAGCAACCGCATCCTGTAAAAATAATCACCACTGCTACCGAAACTTCAAACCTCCAGCTTGAAGCCCCCTATGTTCCATTGGGAACGCAAAGGGAAAAAAAGTAAAAATAGAAAACATAATTGCTGAGTTGTATTCAGACATAAACCTGAATACATTATACATTCATATTTATAACTTTCTCATTAATGTATCTGGATACAATTGACCGGTATTCATTTCGTCTACAGACGCTCTTTGAACGAATGCCTTAGCATTACCACGATTATTAATTTATAGTTGTTTGTTTGATGGTGGTAGTCAGCAGAATTCACGGAAGGCGTTTCGTCCCACTTAAGACTTATCATCTGAATGCACCTAATCACTGGTCGGTGATGTGTATGAGTGATATTTACTGGGCGATATTTCAAAAGACTTTATTGTTTACAGTCACATCAAGTGTAACTCAATAATTTTAGAAACTATTTCTGCTACTCTTAGTTCTTTCTGTTTATATGGATAGTAGCAACTTCTAGACACTCGGAACAGATGTTTAACCATTTCAGTTGTATATCATTATTATTATATCCTTTAATTCCTAGAGGAACATACGGCTTCATCTGCGCGTCTCCATTGCCTTTGGTTCTCTGCCAACTTTTTCACCCCGCTCCAAGTCTGCCCACATGCTTTCATCTCCTCTTCACATAACCACCTCCAAGTCACCCTTGCACTGACGACCAACTCGCCGCTTCCCTTTCGGGTTCCACTCGAGCGATGGCTTGTCTAGTGATGTCACTTGATGGTTTCCTCAGCGTATGGCCAATCCATCTCCATTTCTTTCTGCCTATTTGTTTCACAATCGGTTCCTGATTGTCGCCAGAGATCCCTGTTGCTGATCTTTTCTGGCCATCTGATCTTGAGTATTGAGTGAAGACAACTGTTAATGAAGGTCTGAAGTTTGTTTGAGATGCTCTTTATGACTCGCAGTGCAAGTTTCTGATCCGTATAGTAGCACTGACTTCACATTGGAGTTGAAAATCCGGATCTTATTTTTGATGGTGAGTGCTGTTGACCTCCACACAGACTTGAGAGTAATGAAAGCTTGTCTTGCTTTTCCGATCCTCGCTGCTTTGATGTCCTCGTCAGTTCCGTCCGCCTGTAGTTGAAACGATGCTTCCCAGGAAGGTAGGTAAAGGAGGTTGTTTCTTTCAGGTTCCTCCCATTTATGCTGATTGTTGTCTGTTGTTGTTTTTGGTGGTGGTGTTGGCCAGGAATCTTCATCACCTCTGTTTTCTCTATGTTCACCTGAAGTCCTATCTTTGATGCTTCTTCTGTCTGCTTGTTGCTTTTCACTTGCATATCCTCCAGTTTATGGGAAATCAGACATATATCATTGGTGAAGTCCACGTCCTCCAAGTTTTTTGTGTGAGTCCATTTTTTGCCTGTTTCCTCATTGCCCGTTGTCTGTCGCATTATCCAATCTACTGCAATCAGGAAAATCATTGGCGATAGTAGACAGCCTGGCCACTGAGAGTGGAAGACATGAAAAGACTAGCTGTCTTTGATCATACGTGCCTGCGCTCTATTTCCCGTGTAAAGTGGCATAATAAGGTGAGCAACATGGAGGTTAGGCGTAGAGTTCTAGGTAAACAGGGGAAATCAATCGACGAAGTCGTGAAGCTACATCGACTGAGATGGTTAGGACATGTGTTACACATGACAAGTCATCGCCTCCCTCGACGAGCTATGTTAGCGGATATAGGGTCAGGCTGGAAAAAAGCTAGCGGCGGTCAAACAAAAACTTGGCCTCACCAGTCAATGAAATCCACAACAGTTGGTCTAAGCCACGTAGGAAGGTGTAGACTTCCAGGCTGGGATCCTCGGGACGGTAAAAATCTATGGTTGGAAACAATTGGTGACATGGCTCAAAACCGTTCTCAGTGGCGCAGATGCATCCACTCCCTGTGACTTATGATCTCCAATGAAACTGTTTTGTTATTCTTTATTCTCCTTTGTCTCACATCTCTGCTCACTGTTTCTATTATGCTTTTCTTGTACTTTCTTCTCTTGCTTCGCGTGCTACACGGAGTGTGGCGACTTGAACTTCCGCACATTTGTGCAAAGTTCTTTGTCGAAAACAGACAGACAGTAGACAGCCTTGCCCCACTCCCGTCCTCACTTCGAAGGATTCCGTAAGTTTCCTGTTGTGGATTACTTGGCATGCAGCATTGTCGTATAACTGTTGGATGAGATGTACAATTGTCGATGGCACACCGTAGTAGCGAAGTATTTGCCAAATCACCTCTCGATCGACGCTGTCGAAGGCCTTTTCAAAGTCGATGAAGTTGAGATAGAGAGGTGACTGCCATTCTAAGCTTTGTTCAATGATGATCCGTAGAGTGACGATTTGTTCAATACATGACTTGTTTCTCCTGAATCCAGCCTGTTCCGGACGAAGTTTTTCATCTAGGGCTTGTTTGATTCTCTCCAGGATGATGCGACTTAGTATCTTGCTTGGAATGGACAGAAGCATAATTCCACGCCAGTTTTTACATTGACTTAAGTCTCCTTTCTTTGGAAGTTTGAATAAGTATCCGTTCTTCCAATCCTCGGGTACTTTGCCCTCTTTCCACACCTTCTCCAGTAGTGGTGTCATCAAGTCCGCTGTTGTCTCTGGGTCTATTTTCAATGCTTCTGCTGGGATTCCATCTGGTTCTGCTGCTTTTCCGGCTTTTAGCATCTTGATTGCATTCAGGACCTCTGATTTCGACGGAGGGTCGATGCTCACTGGTAGTTCTGCTTCCGTTGTTGGTATTGTTGGGCGCGTTGTAGGTGGCGGTCGATTTAGAAGTCTTTTGAAGTGTTCGGCCCAGTGTTTTCTTTGTTCCACTTCGTTGGTGATTGACTTTCCATTGTCATCCTTTACTGGCTTAATCTGTGTCGAACTTTGGCCCGACAGGTTCCTAGTTGTTTGGTAGAGTGTGGCGAGGTCTCTTTTGCCTGCAGCTTGTTCTGCTTCGTTTGCCATGGTTTCATAATATTTTCTTTTGTCTTCCCTGGCACTCTTCTTCACTCTTTTGTTCAGTGTATTGTAGCTTGCATTCAGCTCCTGTTTTTGTTGCTCGTCAGTGCACTGGATAATCTTTTGTTTCACTATCCTTCTCTCTTCTATTAGTTTCCAAGTGTCCATAGTGAGCCACTGTTTGTCCTGTCTCTTCTTTCTGCTTAGAACTTCCGTGCAGGTTTGGCTCCACACCGTTTTCAAGTTGTCCCAGTGCTTTTCGACGCCGACCTCTTTGCTGGTGTTGATTTGTGTCTCGGCTTTGTCCTTTAAGCTTGCAATGAAGATGTATTTTGTAGCCTGGTCCTGGGGAGTGTTGAACTTGGCTTGTGGTCCATCTGCAGCTCCTGTTTCCCTGTAAGCTTTTAATTTGATTTGGATTGTCCCTTGTACGAGATAGTGGTCTGAGCCAACGTCTGCTCCTCTTCTTGCTTTTGTGTCCAGTAGGCTGCGCCTCCACTTCCTTGAGCAATTGAGATAAAGTCAGTTTGGTTTTCGGTTCTCCCATCTGGTGACACCCATGTAGCCTTGTGGATATCTTTGTGCTTGTATACACTGCCACCAATCACTAGTTCGTTGAAGGCGCAGACGTCGGCGAAGAGTTCTCCATTTTCGTTCATTTCCCTGAGAGCTTCTCTACCCATGATGAGTTCCCTTCCTGTATTGTCTGGTCCCAGTTTGGCGTTCATGTCTCCCATTAGTATTTTCATGTCGCCAGCTGGAGTATTGTCCATTGTTGCCTGTAGTTGTCTGTAGAATTCTTCTTTCTTTTCGAGGTCTGCGTTGTTTGTGGGTGCATAACATTGTATGATTGAAACTTTCCTTCCTTTGGAGTTGAATCTGGCGGTCATTATCCTGGACGAAATCGCCTCCCATTGTATCAGGGCTTTCGTTGCCGTTGGTGACATCATGATAGCCACGCCCTCGGTGTGCGTGTGGTTATCTTCTGGGTGACCGGAGTAGATCACTGACTCACCCGTTGACAATTTGGTCAGTCCACTCCCATTCCATCTGCTTTCACATATTCCCAGCACTTGTATTCCGTATCTTTTCATCTCGTTGGCGATCTGGGCAGCTTTCCCAGTCTCGTACATAGTTCGGACGTTCCATGTTCCCACACAGACTTTTTCTTTTGGTGCAAAGAGGTTCATTATACTGAAGTTTCTGTAGCAATTTTGTTTACAGGGTGGGGTTGCTAGCCTCACGCCTGAGAAAGGAATGGTTACATCAAGATAAAGTTTAGACAGAAGCGATCTTGGTTTAGCATCACCAAACTGTGGTTACTTTATACATGAAAAGCTGGATATTTTTCAATTGTACCGATTCCTAAGTGATTTGATAAACGAAGCTTCAGCTACTGACTTCTACCTCATATATTAGATGATAGGAACATCACTTTATCCTATCCCCTTGTACTGGTATTTGTGACTGTATACAGTGGCAAAGCTCAGCCTTTCTCTTGACTTCGTATGGTGATAGGGTACATTAACCTACTTTAAACCTTCCAAAGTCTGGTTTCGTTTGAGTATTCGTACAAAAGGAATACTGAGCTTTTTCGCATTTTTTAAAATCTAATCGATTTTTATTTTTAAACTCAAATGACAAAGTGGAGTTAAATTAGGAAGGTGATATGCTTAATGCATTTCTTCAAACTGGATTTTTCTATAGGATAAAATGATGTTTGCATAGGTTCTAGTATCGTTTTACAATATTACTTATGATATTACTTAATATTAGTAATAAGTAGCATACCAATTTTTAATTGTATAAAAATGTCGACAGAATCCAATATCAGTTATTATTATTACTATTAATTATTGTTCCCTTGGATTTTGAGTGGAGCATAGGGCTTCATCAGTGCACTTCGATTTTGTCCCGTTTTCTGCAGTTTTCTACATCTGGCCCCTTGATTTTACTTGGTGTTTCATCTCCTCCTCGAACGATCTCTTACATGTCGACATCAGACACTTCTATAGTCCTTCAACATTCGGATTCCACTGGAGTAATTGCCTGACTTGTGATTTCATTCTGCAGTCTCTTCAGCGTCTGCATAGGTCATCTCCATTTTCTCCCAAGTCTTTGTTGAGCAGTCGGCTGTTGGTTTGTTCGCTCCTACAGTTTATTATTGCCAACTCTTTTTGACCGGCCATTCCATCTTCAATATGGAGCCAACGAAGGTGGAAGCTGTTGATAAAAGTCTTCAGCTGGCTGTTGGAAATGCGTAACGTGACACGGAATGCAAGTTTCTCACCCATGCTGAAGAACTCACTGACTGACTAACTGACTTCCCATTTTTGTTGGATTTCTGAATCTTGTTGTTTATGCTGCAGAGTACCGAAGATTTCAAAACTGGTTTCAGGTTGATGAGGGCAAATTTGCCTTTCCGATTCTGACTTTGACATCTTTATCCGTTCCGCTATCTGTAGTTGAAATTATGCTTACTGCCTAAATAGGTGAATGAAGTAACCCCTTTTAAGCTTCCCTCTTTCATGGTGTTTGATGCTGGTTGTTTCTGATATTGGTTGGTTGTCTTCATCACTTTCGTCCTCTTTATGTTCATGTCGTGTCTGACATTGACTGAATCATTGGCAGTTTGTTGCAAGTCTTCGATTTTGTGTGACATCAGATACAATTAGTCCGGGGAATCCAGATCTTCTAGAGTGTTCAGGTCAGTCCGGCATACTCTTTTCTTCTCACTCCCCATTGTCTTCGGCATAATCCAATCTAAAACAATTAGGAACATCACGATTGATAATAGGCAGGCGGCCTTGTCATACTCCTGTCTTCAATTCAAATGCTTTTGCTGAGTTTTCTGTTGTGGATCACCTGACGCGTGGCATTGTCATATAGAGCCAGCTGTTGAGTGAGCTTGATAAAGATTTTAGCATTACACGTGGTAGTGTTGAAGTAGTTTCGAAATTATTTCTCGGTCAACGTTGTCTGTCGAAGGCCTTTTCGAAGTCGATGAAGTTGAGGTAGAGGTTTTACTGCCATTCAATGGTTTGTTCTATAATGATGATGAATACAAATGCGATTTGCTCAACACCTTTCCTTACTTCCTTCCAAACGTTTTGCAATAGTGGTGTGGGTATATCTCCTGTGTTTTCTGAATACGTTTTCAGTGATTAGGGGGTAATCCTAGCTGGTCCTACTGCCTTCCCAGATGGCCTTCAGTAGCTTGATGGCATTCAGGGTTTCTGCTTTCGTTGATGGACTGGTGTCCACTGGCAATTCTGTGAAAGCTGTTGACGTGGTTGGTATTTCTGGACGAGTTGCAGGTGGTGGTTGATTCAAGAGTCCTTTGAAGTGATTAGTCCATTGATTAATTCGTTTCTCCTCCTTGGTAGTCAGGTTCCATTGAACTCCTTTGATTGGTTCACTCTGCGTTGATCTCTTCACGAATAGCGTGCAGTCTGGTTATGTGATATAATGTTCTGAGGTCTCTCTCATCTGCTGCCTGCCTGTTTTGCCTCAGCATCACTGATAGTGTGTCGTAGAATTGTCGTTTGTCTCTGCGAGCACTCTTCACTTCTTTATTCAGCGCAGTGTACACTGAACTCACCTCGTCCTTTTGTTGTTCATCAAGGCATTGGTCATTTCTTTCACCATCCTCCTTTCATCTATTAGCTTCCAGATGTCCATAGAGAGCCATTATTTCTTTTGTCTGTTTTCTCTTCCTAGAATGGTTATACACATATCCTTGAACATCACTTTCAAAGAGTTCCAATCTTCCTGCACACAGGTTTCCTCATTGATGCCACGTAGTGTATCTGACTTTGCTCTGATATATGTCATTAACTTATCTTTTGTAGTTTCATCCTTCAGGTTTTGGTCTATCTCCAACTGTGCGGAATGTTTTTGACTTGAAATTGAAGGTTTCTTGAACTAGACAATGGTGTAAGGCAACATTCACTCCCCTTCTCGATATTGTGTCCACCCCAACATCAGTGAGAGATTCTAAATTCAGAAGGGAACAATCTGTCAGAACGCTTGCTTTTAATATCTATTTCAACAGGCTCAATAATTATAAATCCACAAACTTTGCCATACAATGAATAACCAGTAAAGGCAAGATCTTAGTTGTATCAAAAACAACAATAATAATGAGTATGGAGAGAATCAAATTCGATTGATTCTTGACGGGGGGAATGTTAGCGAAGGACGGGAGGATATATTTTACAATCGCCGTACTACTGAAGGACCTACCTGTACCTGAAACAATAAAATAGAAATTTAATGGTGGTTGACCTTGTCGAATTATCATTCGTCTAGCTTCATACCTAAAACAAAATGAAAGATACTAAAAAATCAATATAAATATGATGCTCAGATCAACCATCAACGCTTGTTTCAAGATTTTAGTGAACAATTCAAGTTGATACAATGATCAGAGTGGCTGTAGGTCTTCATTATGGTCGACTTATATTATGAGGCAGACAGGGAAGTGTAAATTTGATTAATTGGTTGACAAAAGGTTACCAGAGTATTCCAAGACGGTCATTTCATTCTATTTATGACTCATCATCTAGATATACTGACATCCTCAGTGAGTTATGATATTTTCACTGAGATTCAAATCCAGTGTCCAACCCATAGAATTCCAAACAGTCATCGACAAGGTCACTGGACCATGCGAATCATCTGTTATGCAAAGGGTATCAGTTATTCTAATTGATTAACTTATACACTAGGCAAAACCATTCAATGTGGTTTAGTTCTTTAGCTTTGAAATGATGAGCTATAAGAAGACGTAATTTATCGGAATCGTGTAATGCTGTATTTGTCCAACACATTTCGAACAATCTGATCATACACGGGCTTGTCAAAGGGAAGGAATATATATGAAAGTAACAGTACATCTATCCAGGCTGGTATCAAAACAATGTGATGACGAATTGCTGCTTTGAACGCATAAAGGTGGTTTAAACTTTCTAATTGCCATCTAGCTCTTCCATAAACTTTAGGATACCCTTCAAACATGTTTTATAGATAGATAGGTTCAAAAGATGTGTTAACGTCAATTTTATGTCCTGTCTCTATAATATGTTTCGTAATAGAGGCGCTAGGTCTCCGTTCCCACCATTAATGAGATCTGAAGATTTCATTTGTTTCTTGAGCCATTTAGGAATATTCTCTGAAGCCAGCCCTTACTTGCAGAGATCGATGAGTCCTGCCTATGTATGTGTGGCCACACGTACATTCAAATAGGTAAATACAGTGGGATGTGACATGACTTTTCGCATTTTATAAAGGCTTAAGTGGATATATCGGCTTCACATTCTCAATTATTATGATATTAGCTGCATAAAAATTCGTCTTTTTAACAGCAACGTCCAGTCTTTGTCTAGTTATCAAGCTGCTTTGATGCTCCATATAGGGTAGCTTGATGTACACGTCTTTCTTAGGGGCGAGTTGGAGAGTGGGTCTTGTGTTCTGACTTCTTTATATCTCCTGATGAACTTGTCTGGATGATTGTTATCAACCAGAGTTTGTGTCAAATTTCTTTCTTCTTCATCAAGTGTGTCTTCAGTGCATATTCGTTGGGGTGTATCCTAAAGTTTGCGAAAGTCCTAGCTGCCAGTTAGAAAGTTTAAGCCACCTTTATGCGTTCAAAGCAGCAATTCGTCATCACACTAAACCTACCTTGTTTTGATACCAACAAAGGCAGATGTGCTATTACCTCTGTTATTTGGTTTGGTGATTCATCTTCATTGTTAGTTTGACCTTCAATATGTCCTTTTAACTTCACCTAAGTCTGTTTTCTCACCTCTTAACTATTTATTAATTTCATATATACCCATTCCTATGACAAGTCGGTTTGTGATGGATCAGATTGTTCAAAATGTGTTGCGCAACTACACACTACACGATTCAGACAAAATACGTCTTCTTATTGCTTTATCTAAACGATGAGCGCTGCATACGAGTTTCAGTGGAAACAACATTCAAATGATGAGTTCCAAATTCAAAGAAATGTACATTTTTGAATTACCTTCTGACCATTATCAATGGAATTTGAGATTTTCCCGTCGATTGATTGGACCAAAGTGCTCGGTCTCAGGTTGACATGTCTGTCAGCTTCTTGTGTAGATGCTTCGACGATGTCTGGGCAGGCAATTAGAAGTTAATTAGTGGATGGTGACTGACAGTGGAATCCAGGATGCTCATTTCGTCCTGTTTGGGACTCGTTAGCTGGTGGTTGTACCTGCATTCCCCAGTGAGTGATGATGTTCCCACCGAGGCTTGAACCCAGTACCCATAGTTTCAAACGCCAAAGTGTTATCCACTAGACCACTTGGGCCAGGAGAGTCACCTCATGTGCAACGGGTCATATTAATTTTATTGAATTTAGGATTTTCCCGTCGATTTATTCCACTGCTAGTCACCATCCACCAATTAAATACTAACTAAATGCCCAGACATTATCGAAGGATCTGCACAAGAAGCCGACATGTCAACCTGGGACGGAGCACTTCGGTCCGATCAATCGACGGGAAAATCTAAAATTCAATTAAAAAATCAATATGGGATAATGTGTATTCAGAAATAATAATACCATCAGCGCAAAGATTTCAGTTGTTTCAAGTCCTCTTAGACGAGCACACTCTCTGATAACGGATAAGCAAGAAAAAGAAGAAGAAATATCAAACATTACTGAAACTCTCAATCAACTACCCAAGGAACTTCATCAACAAAATCAACACAGACATTAAATATGGCCGAAAATGCATTCAGAAAAAATGGACTTTAAGATAAGATAAGATAAGGTAAGCTTTATTCCAAATCAGTACTTGTGATACAGAATGGAATTCTCAGCATTTTACTACAATATTGCATCCAGTTAGTACATTAACAATAAATATAGTTCTACATAGATTAAGGTTATCTCAGTCAGTTTTGACAACAACATATTAGCAAGTCGGTAGCAAAGCCAAAATTTAAACAGAGTGTTTGAAGGTGTTAGAAAAGTAGATACTACTAGCATATTTACTGGCGTAAGCGATAGCAAAATGGTCGAGGTATACAGAGTGTGAAAGAACGAACAAGAATGTTTTAAGTAGAGTTTGTAAGGAAGAGAGAAACAAAACAGCACATAACAAAAATAAATAGAGAAGGAAAAAAAGGTGGAGAGAAAACGTTGTACCTGTAAATGATGTGAGTTGGAAAGACGAGATCCCCTTGTTCTACTGACTATTTAATAAGTTAAAGGTTTCACGCCTAATGCTTTCTTTATCGCACAGAACTCGAGCTAGGTAGGGTATGGATGAGTTTTTGTACTTGCTAGTGCGGGCATATAGTTTCCTATATAGGCTTCTGGTTTTCCCTGAAGAGATACATGGGGAGAGTTGTGAATGTAGAGGGTGTTGTGAGTCAGATAAAATGGATTTCGCCCATTTTTCACATGAGTCCATGTGCCTGTCCACCAGAATATTAACAAGCTGGCTAAGTGGCAAACTGCTTACCCTGCTGACAACCTTTAACATCCTGCGTAATAAGGTATAGTCTTTCTTCAATAGCCCAGGAAAGACTAAGGGGGAACAATAGAGAATAATAGGCAGAATACGGGAGTTAACAAATTGTAGGAGTAAGGGTTGGGTTACACCAGAAAGTCTTAACTTCTTGATGTAGAAGGTAAGACGGTATATTTTCTTGGAAATCGTCAAGATATGAGACGACCAGGAAAGATCAGAAGATAGAGTGACGCCTAGGTATTTAATTTCCGACTTGGTTTCAATTTCAGTGCCATCTATGTTGCACACCTCGTGAGTGCTAACCAGTTTGTTTAGGTCAGATTTGTGCCTAAAGGTGAAATTAACTGTTTGGCATTTGGAGGGGTTTAAGGTGAGACCGTTTTCCTTGGACCATTGGCTGATTTCTGATAAGAAGCCATTTAGTTTAGAGCAGTCACTTTGACATTTGACAGGTAAAGATACAGTTAGGTCATCAGCATATTTGACAAAGTTAATGTCATTTGAAGATGGTAGGTCATGTAGGAAGAATGAAAAGAGAAGTGGGGAGAGTACAGCACCTTGGGGGACACCAGCTTCAGTGAGCACAGCAGAGGAGGATTCGCCTTTGTATACGGTGTACTGCATTCTGTTTGAAAAGTAGGAATGCAACCAGTTAGTGACCCAGGACTCGGTTTGTGTCATGGAGAGCTTATTTAGCAAGAGACATCTAGGTACAGAGTCGAAAGCAGAAGTGAAGTCAAGAAACGTGCAGCGGACATATTTGGCACCTTTGTCTAATGATGAGACAATACTGTTGTGTAAGACGGCTGCAGCGTCTAAAGTACTCCTACCCTGTCTGTAGGCAAATTGTTTGGGGTCTTCGAAGCTTTTAAGGGAGGGTTCGAGTTTAAGAAGTACTAGTTTTTCCATGAGCTTTAGAAACGGGGAAGTGATGGCAATGGGTCTGAACTTTACGTTCTTGCTATTTCCAGGTTTAGGGACAGGGACTATTTTAATGTCTTTCCATGGAACAGGTACAACGTTTTCGGAGAAAGAAGCATTTAGGATATTAGTTAGAGGAGAACATAAAGCATCTGCACATTGTTTTAGAACATATGCAGGTATGCCATCAGGGCCAAGACTATGTGAGGGCTTAAGAGTTTTAAGACATTTCAAAACATCGAGAGTATTAAAGTCCTGGAAGTTATCAGCTACAAGATTAGTAACGTTAGAAGTGGTTATAGTAGAAGGAGAGCGTATAAAAGACAGATTAAGAGCATTAACATCACAAGAGGGAAAAACATTACATCGCTTACTATTGCCAGTAATTTCATTGAAAAATTTCCACATGCTGATAGGAGATTTGCATGATAAAAGTGTTTGGTTATAGATAGCATTAAGATTTTTGATTTCAGATTTGATTTGAGCATTAATCTTTTTAAGTCCTAACTTGTCTTTGCATTTATATAACATTTCTTTTTGCCTGCGAAGTTGTTTGAGATGGGGAGACGAGAAGCGGTCGAGGCGTTTGAACAGTGTTTGTTTGGGACAGCATATGTCGAGGCAGAACTTAAGATAATCCATTATATTGGTGATTGAGTCATCTAATGTACTTTCATAGAATAGATCCCAGTTGGTATCTTTTAACATGCATCTTAGATTGAGTAAGTTGTCAGATGTGTAGCTTCTTTGTTGTGCTTCGTAGACAGGTGTGAGAAGATTTTAATATGTGTTTTGCTGTATATTTTTGGCAAAACGCGGACAATGCAGTGATCGGAGTTATGTATCGGTGAACGTCTACGTGTTTCATATACTCCTTCGTCATTAGTAAAAACTAAGTCGAGTGTTTTGTCAAGTCGAGTGGGAAATTTGACTATGTTTGTGTGACCAAGAGCTTCAAGAAAGGAGCAATCTGAGGTGTTGAAGTCTCCAGTAATAACGGATAGAGAGTTGTCGAAGTTGGCAGCAGCAAACATGGTGAATTCATCAGCAAAATTAGATAGATCAGATGGAGAGCAACTAGGAGAAATGTACATGTTTGTAATATAGATTTGTTTATATTTGGGGAGGTGTTTGGGGCGACATTTGACAGTAATACAGTCAATGAAGTCATTTGAGAAGGTGAAGCAGACGTTATTTGAGACAGACCATTTGGAGTGAATAAAAGTTGCAACGCCACCACCATTTTTCTTATTACAACATTGACGGTCTTGACGAAATAAAATAAAGTCCTTTAGTGAGATAAGGTTGTCATCATACAGTTCATGCAACCACGTTTCTTGTAATGTGATTATGGCGGTGTTATGATACGTATCAGTTGACATCAAGGATTGTAGGTACATTATCTTGTTTGGCAGAGAGCGACAGTTTGTGTTCATTATGACGGGGACCGTAGTTAAGTGTATTGGTGTACGTTTGAGAGCTCTCTGCCAACCACTACGATGTTTCCTCCTTGGTTTCTTTGGAATATGAAAGTCATTTGGTCGTAAATGATTAATAAAGTTACGAGAGTAAATGATTCTGTTAGAATTCATATTTAGGTGATAAATAAATGTTGGTAAACAGAGGACTGGATGCAAAATGTAGATATTATAGTAGCAGGCCCAAAAATTCGAACAGGCCGCCAACAGTCGTTATTCCATATAGAGCAGAGACATCAGACGATATCAGAAGAGTACTCAATCAGCTCGACATTAGAGTTTTCTTCAAAACATCGGACACACTTCAAAACAACCTTGTCCATATAAAAGACCAAATCCCGAAAGATTCTCTATCTAATTGTGTCTATAAAATAAAATTCTCGGAATATGATGCGATCTACATCGCACAAACATCTCGAGAAATCAAAATCAGAAGAAATTAACACCGTAGAGCATCTCTTCGACCACCAAGAAATCCAGTTGAACTAGAAAAACTTCAAAAATCATCAGCCATAGGTCTACATGCTATAGAATCAGGCCACAAAACTGATTTTGACAATATTGAAATAATCCAGAAAAACTTCAGAAACCACAAAGAACGTCTAATATCAGAAGCACTTCATATCAAGTGGAATCCAAATTGCCTGAATAGGAATGATAGACTAAAACAGAATCTGACCAGGCTACAACACCCTCCCCCATGAAGTAGCAAAATCAATGCAAATGTGATGAGCAAGTTCACTATGTAAACACACACTACTTTCATAATTCTTCACACTGATAAAATCCAACAATCTGCACTTGATTTTGTTATCTTTACCAATTCGCTAACTTGACAACAAAAAGAGACTCAGATTGACGAACGATGATCAAGTATTTCACAAACTACACTTAGTTTGGTTACTGATATGTATCCATATATGTATATATATATGTGTGTATGTATGGTGGTCTCTCTTTCTGTTTGCTCGCTTAGTCTGTGACCATTTCACTTGTATGAACCTGTCTCCTTGAACAATGTATATTCCCCTTATATTATAATGTAATATGAGTGTTTGTTGACAGTCCGTTGCTTGGTGACATATATCCATATATGGTGGTTGTTGACATGTCTGCTATATTTCGCTATGTATATATGGATCGACACTTCATTATAATTAGCCATTCATGTTAAGACTATGTAATGATTCTTCACACCCTTGTCATATATATATTTCGCTCTCACAATTTGTGTGACTTACTTTGGTGTGATACCACTTATTGCTTCTCCTTGTGTTTGGAAAATAGAAGTATCATCGCAAACCTAGTGGTCTTCTGATTTCCGCCTTCTTGCGTCAGAACTATTAGTTTCTCGACTAGTACATAACAGTTACCTTTACCTACTCTCCAACTTGACAACCAAAAATGCCCCCAGACTGACGAACGATGATCAAGGTAGTAAACTTTATTTTGATATAATAACAGATATACTATTACCTTTGATATTTGGTTTGAATGATCTTTATTGTTATTTTGACTTTCAATATGTCCTTTTAAGTTGAACTAAGTCTATATTTTCTCACCCCCTAACTCTTTGTTATATATATGCTGAGATTTAGTAAATTCCGGTTTAATAATACTTTGAGAAAGCTATTAGCATTAAATAGCGAAACGTCAGTAAAAACAATATCGTTTTGTTTTTTCATTCATTGGGAAATACAAAAACCTCTATTATAATGAATAATAATATGAGTGTTATCACTCAACTACTATCAGATGGAAAATAAGATGAGTGTTTCTATAGTCAAAATAAATAAGTAACTTGTTAGAATGTTATGATATACGTGAATTGAAATAGAATTTTGAGATTATTTATTATCCTCCTCTGATTTGACTGACTGACTGATGGTAATAATATCTTCCATGCATATCTGTGGTATTTGCATTGAGTCATTTCTGTTGCATGTGTTGGCTGTAGACTCAATGAACAAGGATTCAGTAATCAACCTCTCTCTCTCTCCATCTGCACACCTACTGTTTAGAATTTTAACCCTCTCCCACCCTATTGTGTGGTTGTGTGTTAATGCATGCAGTGCAAGGTAGTGCTGAGGTCTTTTTCTAAATTACTCATCTTCTCGGGGTCAACCTTTTTATCTTAGCTAAATTCTTATGTTCCGATAATCTGACTACCCCGATCTACTAGTTTGACCTATATAGTTGACCTCACTAACAATCATTGCAAGGTATTTTGTAAATTATATTATTTTGTTTAATTGAGCCAACCGACAGGGTCATTTCACCTACAGGGCTTGTCCTACCTGAGTGAATTTGTAGGTTTGATTGCCACCCACCTAATTCCTGCTTTATTAAGAATCCTACGTAGGGTCTCCTTATATGGTATAACAGTGGATGACTTATATTCTCTCTTATTTATGTTATCATTACTAGTTTCACAATTATTTTTATTTTGCTTTTGGCCTTTTCTGATCTTCCTAATGAATTTCAAAGGATAGTTATTTAACACCAAAGCCTCTTCTATCTGTTTCAGTTCATCATTTAGGTCTTTTCTTGTGCTACTTAGTGCTATTGCTCGGTTTGTTAAACACTTAACTAAGCCTGCCTTAACAATTAACGGATGAGATGAATTAAAGTCTAAATATCTATTAGAATGCGTTGGTTTTCTTTAAACACTAGTGTGTAGTTTACCTTTTTCTATTCGTTTTATCTTACAATCTAACAGCACAGCTAATTCTCCTCGTTCATTTTCCGATTCAAATATGAATTTTATTCCCTTCACTAGGGAGTTTATATGCGTCAAGAAGCTACAGATGTGTCCTATTTTTAACATTGTGTGTGAAAGTTTCATCCACTTATCTCCACCGTATTTTCGGAGTAGGATTAAAGGTTGCATTGAGAGCAATATTTTCCCTACCAGCTGTCCATAAATATTATTTTTTAATTACAGCTTGATTCCACACTGTATTTTTGGTACAAGTATGGAATTTTCAGCATGGATATCGGTAGCCCGAATTTCGCAGGCCGACCATAGTTATCAGGTGTGCATCGGCAGGGAATCGAACCTCGGACCATGTGCATGGTCGGCGAGAGTCCTAACCACTGTGCCACCGATGCGCACATATAACCGCGCCTCAGATAAACTTCATTGGGCACGGTACCGACGCTGTGCAAAGTCCAAAGTGTGTCAGGAATGGGATATGTCTTCTACGATAAGGGATATTGGTGATCCATTCCATTGCTACAGCTTTTATTTGTCTATATATTTTGCCTTGGAATTTGAAGTTACTAGATATGAGGTATAACTGAATCTCTAAAATAATTTCTTCAATGGGCAGCTTTGTCCTATGATTGAGTTCAGGATCCGCTAATTCCTGCTTTATTCCAATAACTAATCGATTCCACTCATGTATATAAATGAAGGAAGAGAGTTGTATGACTGAGTGACTTGATACGATTATGAGCAGTGATAGTTTGTGCTCAAAATGTGGTTATCAGTTAATATTACTGTACAACAAACACTGTGTGATTTATCAAAATAAAATCTTATCCATAATGGATTTACGCTCTACCACCACAATGCCTAAGTTTTATACTTATTATCAATTTCACTAGGCAACGTTTATACCGGATAGGAGTAAATCTTAGTTTAAAAGAATAAGACTGTACTTACTTTTCATACCATGCATTCCGTATAATTGCATTTTGCATAGCTATGGGAAATTCACTGAAAGCTTCAACAGTTGCTGTCACAGCTACTAATGCTGTATGTATCATTGATTCAGTACGATAACTACTTGGAATAGTGAGTATTTTTACAGCATCATGTGTAAGATGTTTTTCTCGGTTAATCTAAAAAAAAGAGATCAATAAGCGTAAATGTCGAGATAGTTTAAATTATCCTTTTGATTATGCGTCGGTGGCACAGCAGTAGACGGCTCGCCGACCACGCCCCCATGTGGTCCGGGATTCAATCCCCGGACATAGACGCACTTCCTTACCTCACTAAAGCAGTAATAAGACTGGTAGAGAGGGAAGGTTAGGTTGGGCATGAGGCTAGCCCCCCCCCCATCCCATCCTGTAAAAATAATCAACACTGCCACCCGAAACTTCAAGCCTCTAGTTTGAGGCTCTACGTGACACTGAGAACATAAAAGAATAAATCCTTTCGACTGGAAACTAGTCAATAACCAGTGTAACGTGTGTGTGTGTGTGTCTAGTCCCCTGTCTACTGTAGACTGAATTCTATCAGTCAAGTTTACAATATGGCCACCATACCACTAGGTAGCTCACCATCACGGTGCACTTTGAATTGTTGATGTTAGGTGGTTGTGGAGGCAATCGGTAGAAAGCCTTGGCTGCACCTAGGCTTCGTGCTGGTTGGCACTCACCAGTCAGCAAGGAAGGAACTCATGTCCTTTCTAAGATTCTGGGTTACTTGGGTTTGATCCTCCCTCAGAAAGGACATAAGTTGCTTCAATGTGGTTGCAGATACGCCTTGCTGATTGGTAAGTACAAACTAGCACGAACCTAGGTGCAGTCAAGGCTTCCTGCCGATTGCCTCCAACTATCTGATATCAGTTTAGACCATCAGATGACTGGAGAATAGTATTTTTCACTGAGTTATATGATCATTTACTGTCTTGTAAAGGGAAAGTCCTAGGTTCGAACCCCCCCTCCCAACAGTGGGTGAGGACAAAATACCCACCCACTACTACCTGCTGGTTTATCAGAGGTTCTTGAACTCATGAATCAACATGTCCTCAAACTTCAAACAAAGCAGAGCCTTACTTACGAACATTTGAAAGCTTGTAATTCATATATTTTTGATGTCTAAGCAAATGGCGTTATTTCATTTTATTTCGTAATTAGTAGTGTTCTCTGAGGAGCTGGTTGATTTTGGTTGCGGAGCTTTTGTCGCCCCCCCCCTGCTGGACAACATCCGCCTTCAGCGCAGTTTTTGGCATAAATTAAAGTGATTTAAATTTTTTTTCCATCAGTGATAGAATTGCGTCTCCTGGTGACCATCTTTACATATATACTGATCGTTTTTTTATTGACTTGGATTTTAAATTGGGCCGAAAGGGGGCGTCTTCTTCGAATCAAAATCCAGGAATACAAATTAGCTGTGTAAAGACATGATATATATTCTTTCACATCAATGCATACAGAAAATTATGGACATGAATTCGATTGAGATAATGTTAAAATTTTAAACAGAGGAAATATCAAAAATCGAATAACAACACCAACAGGAAACCATCATCAAAGAACACTAGAAAATTCATCCTACCATATATGAGAAATATCTCTGAAATAACAGCTAGAATATTCCAACGGTTTGGTATAGATATAGCACACAAACTAGCCAACACAATCAATTCATTCTACATTGTGCAAACCGAGAGATTCAACAGAAAAAGGAGAACATCATCACTCACTGAGAAATGCAGGTACATTCAGATGACGAGTCCCAAATAGGACGAAATGCGCATCCTGGATTCCACTGCTAGCCACCATCCACCAATTGTATAAAATTAATACCGTTTACAAATTAATTTTTATGAACTGTAACAGGCATAATATCGGCCAGAATGGGTGTCCCGTTCGAATCAGAATCCAGGAACACAAATCAGCCGGGAAAAGACACGATATATATATATATATATATATATTCCTGTTTCATATCAATGCACATAGACAATTATGGACATCAATTTGATTAGGGTAATGTCAAAATCTTAGACAGAGGAAATACCAAAAGTGCCAGAGAATTCCTAGAAGCCTGGTACTTAGTCGAATCAGCCAGCGATTAACAAACACGTTAATGTAGACCAAATCTACCAACTAATAAAAGTAAATCATGTGACGACACAGTTTAAAATCCAAGTCAATAAAAAATGATCAATACAGATGGAAAGATGGTTACCGGGAGACGAAGTTACATCACTCATGTAAAAAAACTTAAATCAGTTCACCTTATGCTAAAAATTGCTCAGAAGAGGGATGTTGTCCACAAGGGGGACGACGAAAACTCCGCAACTAAACCAACCAGCCCTTCAGAGAACACACCTAATTGGAAATCATCCGCCTGAGCTACAAATCTTCTCTGTTATTTCAAGAACTTATATTATTTTTAGAATTTATGTCGTTTAATATCTTGTTAGTACTGTTACCCATATTGGAGGCCTATTTAAACCTGCGGGTTATAGCTAAATTTCCATTCAGCATAATGCATCTACTTTTCTCCACTTCCTGTTATATCCATCTGACAGTGATCTTTCTCGATAGCAAAATGAACTGAGGAGGATTGTGAGTTATCATGTAATCTTCTGCACTCCGCCTCAACATAAACAACAGGATTCGGACTTTCAACACAAATGTGAAGTCGATCAGTCAGCCATTGAGTTATTCTATTTAGGACAGAAACTTGCACTGTACGCGCGTCACAAAAGGAATTCCCAAAAGCCAGTTGCAGACTTTCACCAACAGCTGCCCACCTCACTGGCTGGCTCCATTTTTTTTCCTTCATGTTCCCCCAGTGGAACATAGGGCTCCAAGCTAGTGGCTTGAAGTTTCTGTAGCAATGTTAATCTTTACAGGATGGGGTTGCTAGCCTCATGCCCAACTTTTTCTCTTTACCAATATTTTTCTGGCTTGACGATGTAAAGGAGTGAATCAGCCGGGGGTCGAACCCCGAACCATGTGCATGATCGGCGAGCGTCCTAACCGCTGTGCCACCGATGCACAGGCTTCATACTGTACATCGAATGGCCAACCAGCCAGGCAACCAGAAACAATTAGCAATAACAAACTATGGTTATCAACAAACCAACAGGCAATAATCGATTGCTCAATAAATATGTAAAAGATAGTGGAGATAGATGGATCGAGGATACGTTGAGGAGGCCGTCGTATGACATCGTGGGCCAGATAGATCACCACTCGAGTGCAATCCCAATGGGAAGCGGCAAGTGAGTCACCGGTGAATAGATGTCAGGAAGGTGATCTGTGGGGAAGAGGAGGAGAAGATGAGGGGTTATGGGGAGTCGTGGACCCAGCTTCAGAGGACAGCAGAGATTAGAGGAAAGCAGAGATGTGTTGTTGTAGCCTTATGTTACACTTGAAACCCAGAGGAATAACTAAATATAATATTGATAATCCAACCTACCAATGGACAATTCAAGAAGAAAATGAAAAATGGAGAAATGTCACAAAGGACTGAGTCTTGTTCCAAACCAAACAACACTAAGGCATCTGATACACTACAAGAAATATTTTTACTGGAAGATTCTATACATGAACGAGTTAAAGTATTTAGCAAGAAATTATACGAAAAATTCTCTATTGATCCACCGGTTAACTGGCCGTCAAAGATGAAGTGAAAGTTTGAATTGTGATAGGATTTGAACCAGTGGCATCCATATTAACGACGCACACACACACACACACAGACATATAGAGAAACAAAGAGATTTTAAGATAAATTATGTTTAATAGTTTCACCACGGATTGATATCAGTTAGAGAACCATTGAAAACCAGCTGGAGGGAGTACTGAACAGTCAGCTGTTTCGTCCTAGTGTTTGGGAATCACCGGCAGTACGCATCCACCGCCAGGATTCGATCCCAAGACCTTCCGGTTACAAGGTAAGTTGGCTCGTGTACCATTCAGCCACTGTGACTCGATTCAATGACCTATGAAATCTAACTTAAATGATTCTCTGAATGATATCAGTCCATGGTTTACAATCGCTTGCTCTAGGAAATTAACTTTTCCTGCTCTCTCGAGAACATCTCCCAGCATGGCTAAGTAAATGTGTAGTGAAAACCATTAACAATTCGATACTGGACTATCTGGTACAAACCAGCCACAAAGCAGGCCAGCAGTGAAGAATCCTTCTCTATCATCTACCGAGTGCCAAATAAATTGCCAAAAACATCGAAGTATCGCATGCTCCAAACAGCAGAGGCTATTGCAATTCGCGTGAAACAACCAGTGCTCTGTGCTCAAAAGAAGCAAATCCATCTAATCACTACTAATGCACTGGCCTTCAGTAGAGACTAGAAATTGGTGAATTTGTAATATTATCTCTCCTAATTTTTCTGATATTCCGTGTGTATTGTTATGCTGATGCCATTGAGCTGTAATCTATCAATATTATCGACTCGATGTTATTTAAACAGCAACATTAATGTTGTTCATAACACTAACTCATTCATTCACTATTGTGGATGGATATATAACTGTAGAGCCTGATGAAGAAAAGGCTATCGAAAACAGTATTCTTTTGAAAATCTAATTCTTACAAGTCGACTCTTGAAAGTTAATCTGATCTTTGCTAATGACTTGCTTCAGGACGAAGTTTCCTAGAATTCTACTGAGAACTCGTGATCAATGAGGTCCATCCAGACGGGAATGAGGATGGATTTCCCACCGAATTGGTCGAAGCTAAAATCCATGGCCTAGGCCACTGAATCGGGTCCAATTGGTCGAATAAAAATCGAGTTAGCTTGCCTTGTAGCCGAAAGGTCCTGGATTCGAACCCCCCCCCCAGTGGTGCGTGCGTACTGCCGATGATTCCCAAGCATTAGGATGAAACGGCTGACTGTCCAATACTCCCTTCAGCTGGTTTTCCATGCTTCTCTAACTGATATCAGTCCATGGTCTAACTCGAAAATAAATGTGTTTATTTAATGCATTAAAACTAACCTTAAAATCATATTTATTAAATCCGAGTTGTTCAGAGCTCAGTCTATCTTCAATATCTTTTTGCAATTCAACAAACGTTTGTGCATTTTTACTACGTAATTTAGCATCTCTCAATTCTTGTATTGGTCTAAAATGAAAAAGATGAAAGGCTGAAGCAGAATTCAGTTGAACGCAGTCGAGTTGAGTAGGGTGGAGTGAAGTGGAGTGGAGATGACAACGATGCCAACGAAAAGACATGAATGAATTAAACTAGACTTGATTAACTTAAAAGTCAATACTAACGGGAATTCATCCTCTAATAAAGCCATTCTCATATAGCCTCTTCTTCATGCTCTCCAGTTTCTTCAGTTTAATTGTATTCAGTTTATGTTTGGATATATCACTGGACAGCCCGAAGATAGAAAGATCTATAGAGAACTGCCACATTCTAATAGGTACCAAGATTTTGTATCATCCCATCGAAAATCGATAAAACTCAGTTTCAAAGTTAATTGATGGATGGTGACTAGCAGTGGAATCCAGCCAGGATGTGCATTTCGTCCTATTCGGAACTCGTCATCTTGATGTACCTGCATTCCCCTGTGACATCCAGATGAAGTTTCATAAATAGGACGAAATGCGCATCCTAGCTGGATTCCACTGCTAGTCACCAATCAACCTTTAATTACATGCCCAGACATCGTTGAGGCAGCTTCACAAGAAGCCGACATATCAACCTGAGACGTAGCAATTCGGTCCAACCAGTCGACGGGAAAATCTAAAATTCAATTAAAACTAAGTTTCGTCAAATATTTCTGTAATCATGTCAAGAGCTTAAGTAGTATGTGAAGAGATTTAAATAATTATATTGAACGAATAAGGGAAATAATACCGATAGTAAGGAACTCAGAAGGCTCGATACTACTGTCATATGCAGAGCGAAGCTCAGAGACCCTACGGACTATTCCTTATAATAATCTGGAATTCAAACCAACTAATTTATTCAGAAACAAACTTTGTTGGCTGACAGACCCGATAGATCCATTTCGGAACACCAGATGTCTGATGAAGAAGCTGTGGCTTACACGGCGAAACGTTCAGAAAAATCTTGTTTTGATTTTCTTAACACGCTGGGATTAATTTAAATAATTTATAATGAAAGTATAATTATATTTCAATAGTTTACACACAATGATAAGTTTTGTTATTGGTAATATTTCGAGTAAAATTACTGCCTGTGTTCACACCAGTGTTGGAATTGTTTTATTCACACATTTATGATTTGTAGTTCATTATTTTTTTTGCTCATTCATGTTTTTTTGTATTCAGAATTATATTCCAAGTTGTTGATAGTTGTACTGAGTCACCCTTGTTACATGTATCCGGTGTGACTTTGATGAATATCGTTTTTGTTATGAGTCTTTCTATTTGTCATGGATAGTTTTTAGAATACACACATCGTTCCAATCGATATTGTGGTTTTTGTCCCATGCATGTGCAGCTATCGATGAATTTTTTTTCAAGATTCTTGTAGGCTTGTGTTCCTGTCGGTTGACCTTTGGTTAGGCGTTTATGTTCATTCATTTTTATTTTTGAGTGAACTGGACGTTTGCCCTATATATTGAATCGGACAGTCAGCACAAAATATTTTGTAAATCAAGTTGTTTTTATCCATCATTTTTATGGTATCTTTCAGTGGATTTATTTTATTTTTGATTAGATTCGTCGGTTTAAACGTTGTTCGAATGCCGATATTTTTGAGGTTTCTTTGAATTGCCTCTGATGTACCATTTTTATATGGTATTGTGACTGTTTGTTCGCATTCTTCCATCTTATTATTCTCCGATTTTACCCTCTTTTTTCTCTTTTTTATATTATCTTTTACAAATTCTATTGGGTAGTTGTTTTCGAGTAGCATTTTGAATAGGACGTTTATTTCTTTACACAGATCCTCTGGTGTTGTTGTAAGTCCACGTATTCAATCTGAAAGACCTTGTATTAATCCTCAGTTTACCTTTGAGTGGGTGACTCAGTACAACTATCAACAACTTGGAATATAATTCTGAATACAAAAAAACATGAATGAGCCAAAAAATAATAATGAACTATACGTGTATATGAGTACAGATCATAAATGTGTGAATAAAACAATTCCAACAGTGGTGTGAACACAGGCAGTAATTTTACTCGAAATATTACCAATAACAAAACTTATCATTGTGTGTAAACTATTGAAATATAATTATACTTTATTTGATCTAATCCACTGTTATGTACTCGTCGCTAATTATTGTTATGGACTGGTCGAGAAACTAATAGTCCTGACGCGAGAAGGCGGAAATCAGAAGACCACTAGGTTTGCGATGATACTTCTATTGTCCAAACACAAGGAGACGAAAATAAATGGTCTCACACCAAAGTGGTAAGTAAGTAAGTGTTGTAAAGTAAAGTGTTCACACAAATTGTGAATGCGAATATATATAAATAATTCAGACAAGCGTGGGAAAAATCATTAGACAGTCTTAACATGAATGGCTAATTATAATGGAGTGTCGATCCAATTATACATAGCGAATATAGCAGACATGCCAACAAACATATATGGATATTGTCACCAAGCAACGGACTGTCAACAAACACTCATATTATATATAATATAATATAAGGAGAATACACATTATTAAAGGAGACAAGTCCATACAAGTGAAGTGGTCACAGACTAACCGAGCAAACAGAAAGAGAGACCAACATGCACACACACACATAATATATATATGTGGATACATATCACCTCCCCTTTTGAGAAGATGATGATTAGTAGGATGTTTACCGGGGGTTTATCTGGGACCTTTGGGCTTGTTGTTGACGCCTGTCGTTTCGTCTGATTGTTGGGTTTGCGGCTTCGGCTCCGTCCGGAATTGTCTACATTTTATGCTTCTTCACTGTATTGCGTAGGAATTTAGTGGGACATCAGCCAGATGCAAACGATCGAACCAATCAAGTCCCAAAACATTTAAATCATTCTTCGTGACGTAACAAATTCCTGTGAATTTGGTATTGCGGAAGGAAACAGAACATTTGAGTTCACCAATTAGTTTGAGCCGCCCACCACAGGCGCTGAAAGAGACTGGGAAGTATTGGTGATAGGTGGTCTGCCAATATAATTCCAAAGTTTCTCTGATATAACAGTAATATCAGAGGCAGTATCTAGCTGCAGACGTATCATGACCATTCATCTGAAGTCAAATATTTCCGCATAGCTGGTGTTGTGACTTGACGGTTGCGCGTAGACTCAATGACTTTTTGGGATTTAGGACCAACATTTTGTTGAGCTTTTGCTGGATTTGATATCTGGGTTGCGTGGCTGACAAAAACCATTTTTGTGACCGATGATTTGCACTTGCTGCAACGATGATTTTTGTATGGCAAGACTTTACAAAGTGCCACGCGCCACAATGCCAGCATGGTGATGGAGGGGTCTTCTTTGCGTATTTTGTGAAGTTGGACGAGTATGTAGATTTCCGCGGACATTAGAGAAGTAGGTGGGTCAGGAGTAGCTGATGAGAGATTTTTGCTCTTGCGTAATGCACGAATATCAGAGCTTCTCGGAGGTGTTGATTCGACCAGTGTGTGTCTTTCTGCAGATTAATCAGCCGTTGATATTCATCAGCTATGTCATGTAATGTTAACTTGGGATTTTGTTCTAGCTGATTGAGCAGTCGAGTTCGGATATCTGTGAAACGAGGAGATTGGAGACTGCATATGAGAATCAAGGCTTTGAACTGATCATCTGTTAAGGACCTGAGTCGAAATCTCTCACATTCTCGGTTGACTGTGCCAACGTGAGTAAGAAAATCATCATTTTCATTCATTGCCAGCTTGAGGCAACGATAACGTATACTGAATAATGAGGAGTGGTCTCCGAAATGTTCACGCAGCAACTTTATTGTATCATCGAAACAATTGTCACGTGGTTTCTGTGGTAAAATTAGGTTGCAGTACCGTTCATATTCTGCCGGACCCAATTTACGTAGCAAAACTCGCACCTTCCAGGCATCGTCTTGTGAGGCGAGATCAACAGTGAATAAATCCTCATAACGTTGATACCATGTGTCAAAAGTGACATTAGCCTCTGGGTCATAATTGAACTGTGAAATGCTGTTCACAATTCCGTCGACAGATGGTAGCATGGTATGATTGGGATTGCTTGAAGGTGGAGCTGGACCAGTCTGTTGGTTGACGAACATTTCCATTAATTTCATTGTGTTCAAACAATAATTCCAATTTAGAATATCCATAGTAAATTGTTATGTTGCTGCTGCTGAGTGGTTAATAGTAGTTTTCCCCGTCGCCAAATTGTTATGTACTAGTTTCCCCGTCGCCAAATTGTTATGTACTCCCGTGCCAAATTGTTATGTACTCGTCGCTAATTATTGTTATGGACTGGTCGAGAAACTAATAGTCCTGACGCGAGAAGGCGGAAATCAGAAGACCACTAGGTTTGCGATGATACTTCTATTGTCCAAACACAAGGAGACGAAAATAAATGGTCTCACACCAAAGTGGTAAGTAAGTAAAGTAGTTGTAAAGTAAAGTAGTTCACACAAATTGTGAATGCGAATATATATAAATAATTCAGACAAGCGTGGGAAAAATCATTAGACAGTCTTAACATGAATGGCTAATTATAATGGAGTGTCGATCCAATTATACATAGCGAATATAGCAGACATGCCAACAAACATATATGGATATATGTCACCAAGCAACGGACTGTCAACAAACACTCATATTATATATAATATAATATAAGGAGAATACACATTATTAAAGGAGACAAGTCCATACAAGTGAAGTGGTCACAGACTAACCGAGCAAACAGAAAGAGAGACCAACATGCACACACACATATATAATATATAATGTGGATACATATCATCCACAATGCTCAAACATTTTACAGATATGTTTATACGAGTTTGACCACGTATTGATGTTAGTGTGCATCGGCGGCACAGCGGTTAAGACGCTCGCCAATCATGCACATGGTTCGGGGTTCGATCCCCGGCTGACTCACTCCTTTACCTCGCTAAGCCAGTAGTAAGACTGGTAAGGAGGAAAGGTTGGACATGAGGCTAGCAACCCCAT